TACGCATAGGGCTAGCGCGAGTCTAAATAGTAACGCAGGGGGGGGCACAACTTAGCCATGCTGAGTACAAACTCACCAGAACCCCGTGCTGCTGCTGCTGCCTGTGTTACCATGGCAACACTGCTATTTATACTCACACTAGCTCTCCTTGAGCTAGCACAAGTAGGCGTACCTGAGCTGGGAATTGCACCCCCAACTCATAGGGAAGGCATAGCCAGAAAGTTCCCCAGCATGTATTAACTTAGCACTGTTTCAGATGTCATGCATCAGTGCACACTACAGAACTTTTAGTGGGCACCAGCAGGGTCCACATGGCCAGTCGGTGTGCACGATGCTGGCATTCACTAGAATTCACATCCCAGCTGGTGCGTACTAATGCACCATGTAGACAAGCCCTCAGCAATCAGGATGTATATTTAGCGGGGGTCAGTAGTGACTCCAGAGTTAAGCATGGTTTGAGATTTGAACCTGCAGCAGCATTAAAATCCCTCTTTCACATTTTAACTATTGAATTTAGTCTTCAGATTTGCCACAATAACTGTTCATGTAAATTTTCCATGTAATTTTTTAAGGAAAATATTCATCAGCTTTTGAGGAGGCCATATTTTAAAATGGGTCCTGACTGTGTGTTTTTAAAATTTTGGCCCTGACTCTGTTTATTTGGTTCCCACCAATTAAAACAACCACAGTCCCCACAAAGTAGAACTTCACACATCCATTCTCATAACCTCTCACAAACAGGCCATATTTTTCATTCTTTCCCTTAAGCACAAAACAAGTTATGGGCTCTTGTGCAGGAATAGGGTTGAATGGATCTATGTGGGAAGGTAGGGGGAATGAATGGAGATGTGTATGCTTGGGTAGAGAAGCCGTGGGGGGGCTTGAGTGCAAGAAGAGATGGAAAAGGCAAAGGAGCCTGCTGTCACTTGTGGGGAGGGGAATCCCTCTGCTGCAAATCAGAGCCTAGAGGAGTTTTTGCTCGGAGCCATAGGAGGTTCATGAGAATGGAACTGCAGCCTGCCCTACATCTGTTTGAACCCAGCCAAAGGTCCGCTTCTCCTCCCCGCCCCCAAAAGTCCTGCTGTCCTACCCCATGCCCCACCCACAGTTCTGGTTCAGCCGTGCCTCTCAAATCCTCTAACCTATTCCACTTATCAGTGACCCTGTACTGTGTCATGTAGAAGTAATAGATTATAGGGCCATTGGAATGGGATATTATCTATAGGCAAAGGTATAGCGGCATCTTAATGCAGATGTCAGAGATCAGGTTGTGCATTTGACTGTTAGGAACAGAATATGTGCACTGATGAGATTGTACATCGAAGTACTAAGGGTGTTTAGCTGTGGAGTGGAGGAGTACGAGTATGTTAAAGGCTTATGATGCTTGGATGATAGGGTATGTGACTGAAGGTTAATGTGGATGCAAATATTGGCTTTATTGGTAATTTCCTGGATTTCTATGGCTGCTAGAAAATGAGTTTGAACAACTTCAGCTGTAAATTAACAATTATTTTGTGTATAAGAATTTTAGTTGAAGCAAAAATAATGTCCCGCCTGCCCACCAAATACACACGACTCATTGACACTAATGGGAATAAGAACATCTCTAAAATGAGGTTTTATTCCCTGGAGTCTTATCATGGAGGAGCTGGCTACGGCAGTTAGATTTGTTTTCTCAGTGTTCATTATTAATTAATTGTTCATTCCAATTAGTAAATGAAATACAAATTACATGCATATTGGGAAAAGTACATGAAATTAAAATCTTAACTGAATCTATTAAGCAGACTAATTTTAAAATTAATTTCCTGGGACTGAGGGAGGAAGTGTGTCTGGACTCAATTAAATGTGTGTTTTTAAAACTGTTCATAATTTCCCAGATTTTATAATATACTTTAAAATGCAAAATTTAAGTTGAATTCAGACCTAGTGAATTTTTAATGGATTCGCTCAAAATATCAAGACAGCTACACACATAAGGGACAACACTCATTAAGCAACTGCACTGCTGCTTTGAGTATCCTGTTAAAATAAGTTTAATAGTATTTAATTAGTCTGTTTTGCAATAAATGCTTAACTGTGGGTGAAAAAAATACACCCTCAGAGGTTTGGAAGAGATCAGCTATAATTTCCCAGTGGTAATGATAATAAACCCTACAAAGTTAGGCCACAGTTAATTGTCTTGTTTGTTTCATTTTTAAGGGCTGTCAACATAATACTGCTGGGGAAAAATGTGACCGCTGTAAAGAAGGTTATTTTGGCGATGCCAGTCAAGGTTCCTGTAGGGTGTGCCATTGTCCTTACACAAACAGGTATTGTACAATATAGTGTCAAGTTAAAAAAGGGTATGGGGAGTGGAAATTATTTACGGTAAGTAGGTAGAGACTGTGTTTTACTCTGTGCTTGGGGTCTCAGTCTTGGTTGGGTCATCTAGGCGCTAGTGCCATACACACAATAATAACTAAGTGCTGTAACTTATTTCACTGTGTTTTCTTTAATAAGTTCAAGATTCTAACTGTAGCCCTGATCCTGCAAGTGACTGCACAATCGTAAGGTAACCCCCTTACTTCGGTGGGGCTCTGCACAGGCACAGTGGTGCACCCACATGCAGTGAATTTCAGGGGTGGGGCCTGTTTTGTTTATGAGCTATATGCAGCATCTGTCCCCATACATATCAATGTTTCCCAGGGCTTTCATGTATTCCATTAACTGTTGGAAACACATGTGTTTTCAATAGGGATTTCTCCTTTGCAATCCATGCTCTCTTTCTGTGCTAGTGAAGCCATATTCCTGGGACATGGCATGGAAATTATTTTTGCTGTCCCATTTGGTGTCCAAACCAGAGAGGAGATAATTGGCTATGTGGGAACAAGCCTTTGTGTGAGTGCAGAGAGATTTAGTGTTCTGCAAAGCCCGCACTCAGAAAAAATAATTAAAACTTGTAAACATGTAAGTGGATTTATGTTGGTCTGACTATATTTGAAAGATTCCACTAGCTTGACAGATGAAACATACATACAAGTGCAAACATACTCACCAAACTGCAGCTCAGCAAACAGTACTGAATGGTAAGAAACAATTATATTTGCTAGGATCTTAAGAAGGTTACTAGATTTTTAAAGTCATTAGCAGTAAAATGGGCTGTAAATGCATATTGTTTTGACCCACCTGTTTGTGGTGATTGCTCAGTGCTAAAATGTGCAAGTATGTGTGTCTTCAGGTAAAGAAAAAATAATAGCTCTAATAAAACCTAAGCGCTGCATTGCTAAGAGCATTACACATTATTTGCCAGGTGCAGAGACAGAGGCTAGATAGCCTTAAGTAAGAGATTTTTCACTGGTAAGTAGTAGACAGGCTTTTCACATATCAGAGAATTCTCTGATGGATCTGTTCCTGATGGCATCGGCTTCTTCTGCAGGTGTTTGCCTGAGGTCAGCTGAACGTATTTTTATTCATCTTTCATTTTAAGAGTGCTAAGATAATTGACAAAAAGAAAAGGAGGACTTGTGGCACCTTAGAGACTAACAAATTTATTTGAGCATAAGCTTTCGTGAGCTACAGTTCACTTCATCAGTGAATCCACTGAATGCATCCGATGAAGTGAGCTGTAGCTCACGAAAGCTTATGCTCAAATAAATTTGTTAGCCTCTAAGGTGCCACAAGTCCTCCTTTTCTTTTTGCGGATACAGACTAACACGGCTACTCTGAAACCTAAGATAATTGAGAAAACCATGAAACCTGCATTCGATTCATATGTCCATATTGATCTGATAGCTACCGTTCTCTGCACAGGGCATGTTCCACCTAGCATTGGTGGAGTCATCCACTTTTCCTCCAAAGTAAGAGCAATATATAGTTTTGGAAGGGTGGGTGGGGGAAGGGGTATTTGATTCCAGTCTTTCATAGACCAGATTACTTTATCCAGGCGCCTATGGCCCAGGTGAATGGTCAAAAGATGGAAGGAACACTAGTAGGCTATGTCCATCGCACACACTCCATCCTACAGCCAAGCAATAGCAGTCCCTCTACAAAGGACCGTGAAGCTAGCTTGGTATATCAGAAAGAGTAGGCATGGTCCAACATGAGGTCTCCCCCTGTGTACTAGGGAGCTCAAGAGGTTCCATCACTCCCAGAGCTCCCTTTTGGGTTGTGCACCTCTCTACTACCTCGATGCAAAAAAGGAAAATAGTGTTAGGTGCAATTCCTAGCAAGTTGTTAGTTTTGTGGGTGCATTGGACATCTGCATAGCTGATTGGTTCCTTCTTCCTTAATACTCTTTTTAAACATTTCAAATGTAAAGGTAAATTTATAGCAAGAATTATCAATCCCCACTGACTTTTAAATTGTTGTTTTAAATAATTATTATAAATAAAAATGTCAGTTATAGGAAAAGTGGATTTAGCATGTGTGGGCTCTAACCTTTCAAGAACAACCATTAGCACAAGACCCTCTGATGATTTCCATGTACGGGGGAGGAAAGGGCTGTATTTTATATTAGAACTGTTGAGCCTTCAATGAAATTACTATGTTTACGTGGGAACTTTAGTACTTTGGGAGGCTTTTTTCTTTTTCTTTTTGATAGGAAAATCGTGCTATCCATGCTAAGAAATTAATATTGTGATTTTACTTTGAAATCCCATATGAACCTTGACTTTTACATTCATTACCTTTAAATAATTTGTATGTGAGGTTGTTTAATTTCTTTTTCATGTGAAATACATTGATAATATTTGTATACACCTGGATGTATAATAAACATTGATGTTATACCTTGAAATTCATTTAAAATAAGATGAAAATCTTCTAAGCATAAGTACAAAGAGCTACACAATCAACAAAGAGCTGTTTTAGCACTTAACTGTTGGTTCTTGCTTAGTAAAATAATATCTGCATAGACCTGTTTTATTTCACAATCTTATTGTTAAGAAGATTTGTTGTATGCATTCCTTTCCAGAATAAGCTATTTTGTTCTATCTAGAAGGGCAGAAGTGTATTTAAAATAGCCAAGAAGTGAATTTAGTAGAAGAATTTGAAGCATCAATGGATAATTTGCTGTAATTTGTCTTGTGGTTGTTAAACTATATCATTGGTTATTTATATCACCAATTACCCGTTATTCCTGAAAGTTATTTGGCCCCTGTTCTAACTCATCTGAACATCTTGATTATGCTTTCATGAAAATAATTTTTTTATCTTCTCACAGTTTTGCAACTGGCTGTGTGGCAAATGGTGAAGAAGTTCAGTGTTTCTGCAAAGAAGGCTATACTGGAGTACATTGTGAAAGGTAAGTGACTTGTCTTTTAAAGCCTTTTCAAACGGAGCATAAAAAGAGTCTCTCTCCACACATGCCTATTTATTTACCTAATTTATTTATTAGAATATTTACCTCAGCATATTGCTGCAGAATACTGTGTATGCATTTATATATTATGTGTGCAATATGCATGCATGTAAAATTAGGTAGCTATATAGACATAAATATCTGTCAGAAGAACATAAGAACGGCCATATGGGGTCAAACCAATGGTCCATCTAGCCCTGTATCTTGTCAAGTGATCTATCCTCTGTCATCCATTCCCAGCTTCTGGCAAACAGAGGATACGGACACTCAAGAGCATTGTGTTGCATCCCTGCCCATCTTGGCAAATAGCCATTGATGAACCTATCCTCCATGAATTTATCTAGTTCTTTTTTTAACCTTATAGTTTTGGCCTTCACAACATCCCTTGGCAAAGAGTTTCACAGGTTGACTGTGCGTTGTGTGAAGAAACTCTTCCTTTTGTTTTTTTAAACCTGCTGCCTATTAATTTCATTGAGTGACCCCTAGTTCTTGTGTTATGTGAAGGAGTAAATAATATTTCCTTATTCACTTTCTCCACACCAATCAAGATATAATAGACTTTTATCAGATCCCCCATTAGTCATCTCTTTTCCAAGCTGTAAAGCTCCAGTCTTTTAAATCTCTCCTTATATGGAAGCTCTTCCATACCCTAATCTTGTTTGTGTATATAGTGTGCTGGGAACTGTAATAATTGCACAGTTGGGAGTAATTTATCGTACACAATATAGAGAACAGAAATAAATGAATAATTTGTCTTTAGCATGTGTAACTGGTATATACTGATTTTATCAAAAGGAGCAGTCAACCACTATGAATAGTCTTATTGTATGTAACATTCTTTGTAATAACAGTAATAGCCCCACTTATTTTGTTCTGTTTCCAGTTGAAAAACATTTTCCCTTTTCTTCTTATGCATTAGTTTGTTTACTTCACCTTTCATGTTCAGTGATTTGGGAGGAATGTGCACACTTCTTTGAATAGCGTTTGTAGCTCGACAGTGATCATGTTAAATCTACATATTGCCCTTCATCCTAAATGAGCCCAGTGTGCCTTACTGCAGACACTTCTCGGTTAAAACACTGCAATAGTTTAGTAGCACAAACTACCCAACAATTTAAAATAGGCAGTGAAGAATATCTTATTCAGTTTAAAGTGCTGGGGGAATTTAAGTTTGCAGAAGTAATTGTCTGAGTTAGACTCTTACCAGCACATACAGACTAGCACCCCATCTCTTACAAATGGTGCCAAAGAATCTTTAATTACAAGTAGCCAAGAAACTGTGATGTCTCAACTGAAAGACAGCACCTCCAGCTGCATAGTGTCCCTTAACAGCATGCTGTAGCTTTGATTCGGTGCTGAATCAGAAGGAAGGGTACTCCTTTGTGAATCACTGGCACCATTTCCTTTAGCTCCTACTTGCAGGTTTCCTGTTCAGCATGATTCTGTTTGGCACATGAGATCTGACAGGATCACAATGCCAGGCAACATGATTTTCAGGCATAGCTCCCAAAAAATGTTATATATTTTTATAATTTTATATGTAACATTTTATAATTTTATGTATATAAGGAAAGCTAGGTTTTTATTAAATGAAAATATATCTTAGAAAAGGGTTGCAAGCAATTTCAAGTATTTAATAACATATCTATATTTATTTTGTCTAGCTGTGCTCCAGGATATTTTGGGAATCCGCTAAAATACGGAGGTTACTGTCAGAAGTGTAATTGTAATAATAATGGTCAACTGGTTAGCTGTGATCGTCTTACTGGAGGTATGTAAGGGTAGACAGACGATCTGTTGAATACTGATTTCTGTCTTTCAATGAAGGAATGGAAGAGTTTTGATACAACTGAATGTAAAGGAAAACCTATGAGGAATATAGTTCAGATTTAATAACAGTTAAATTTTGAATTCTTAACACTATTGATTATCTATTTCTCCATCCCACACCAAATGGATGGTTGAATACATTACTGAACCTCTTTTACCAACCTCAAAGCCATATCTTGCCACGCTGTATGTAAGCTTAGGAAGCATACACCATAGAGCAGTCCTAATTTGCCTTCATTAAATGTACCTGGGCCAGAATAGTTGTAACTTCAGAGTGTATATGCTGTGATCAAACGCTGTTTTATGTCATACGTGCGGGAAACTGTGCCCTGAGGTATGCAAACACAACTTCCCCTGGTGTCTTAGGGGTTTGTCTCTTTCAGGAAATAGGCTGTTTTTTTAAACCAATGTGCAGTTTAGTTTAGTACTTATGAGTTATAAGTGAACTAAAGAAGAGTTAAAGTGAGGGCCAAATCTTCCTGCCAGCTACACTGATGTAATTGCACTGAAGACATCCCTGCTACCTTGAATGGAGTTTCAGTAGTATAGCTGAGAGGAAAACCTGGCCCTAAAAAAGATAGAAAAACACACAAAAGAAATACAAGGAACAAAGAACCTTCAAAAGGCATCTTAGAAGTGGGACTTACTTGTCCCTGGACATCTGTTCCTCACATGTTTGCTTTCTGAACATGAGAAAGAGCACAGTATGGCCACACACAGAGGAAACTCTATTTCTGGTACTGTGGTTGTGAACTTCACAGCACATGATACTCAAAATCAACATTTTAAAAATAGATAATGGGTCAAATTTTCAAAAGTGACCAAGTCCCATTTTTAAGTGACTTTGGCACTTGGTGAGATATAAGATCCTGACGGTCAATGAGACATAAGCTCCTAAAGGACAGATTTACAAAGGTATTTGAAAGTCAGTGTGAACTAGGTGCCTAGCTTATTTTTGTGTGTCCCACTATGCACCTATTTGTAGAGTCCCGAGTGAATACAAATGTATATCCATGGATGCGGATATCCGCAGATATAAATCAGTATCTGCTGAACTTCAGGGCTCTCCCGGGAACCACAGGGGCAAAAGGAGCAGAACATGGGGCCGCCACTCCCAGGAGACAGCGCCCCACACCGGCAGCTCCTCTCGTGCGGCTGTACCACCTCCAGCCCTGCCCCTAGCCCTGCCCCCGTCCCTTCCATGCAGCTGTCTGCATCTCCTGTTTGGGGCAGTACAGCCGCGCCAGAGGGGCTGCTGGCGCGGGGCACTGGCTTCTGGGAGCGGCAGCCCCGTGTTCTGCTCCTTTCGCTGCTGCGGTTCCCGGGAGAGCCCTGCAGTTCCACGGATACCGATTTATATCCGTGGATATAAATTTGTATCCGCGCAGGGCTCTGCCTATCTGCATCTTTAGGCAATTAAACACATTTGTAAATCTGGTTTTTGGGAACCTACGTCTCAGTGAAGGTCAATGAGGTTTAAACCCCAGATCCCTAAGGACCTTGAAAATGGGACTCAGAGTCCTAAATTGCTTAGGGGTTTTTGAACATTTTACCACTTCTATGTATGTTGTTTGCTTTATCATTACCATTGTGGATTAAAGGATATGATCTTATGCTCTCCAGCCCTTCTTGAAGCGTATTTACTTCTGTCCTTTGGGACACTGGTACCTGTTCAGAGAAAGTAGGGCTTTGTTCTTGATGAGATCTTTGATTCTACCTTATTTTCATTCCTCATTGACTTCTCTCTGATGTCAATGAACTCACACTTCATTTTCTCCCAAAAGCAACTTTTCCTTCTCACATTTTAGCAATGTTTTAAACCAATCAAAATCAGTGACTACTGATTTTCCCACTCTGTGCTTTTCTCCAGTGTTGCTCAGGTTATCTGAATATCAACAGAGGGAAAATTACTTTTTGTCGCGCCAACGAGGCCCATACAATCAAGGTGGGCGATGTCTCTAAGGTGCCACAAGGACTCCTCATTGTTTTAGTTTATTTTCAGTTTCTCTCTGCCGTTATATTCTGATCAGCTATCTCTTTCTCCACATTAGCATGAAAATCCCCTGCGGTCAGCAACACAGCATATTTTGGCAGGTTGTCATATGAGTGACATTCTGCACTTTGCCGTAAAAGTCTTTAATTTCATCTTTTTTTTTTTTTTTTTGGCTACTGTAGTTGGGCCAGAGACTGTAATAAAAGTCATACTTAATTGGCACTTCTTGGAGACTGCTTGGAATATCTCTAGTGGTGGCTGGATAATACACTAGCAGGAGTGCAAGTGTGTCTGTATTCAGAATAAATTCCATCCTTCTCTTGGAGTAACTCCCTTGTGACTCCTGTCTCCCCTCTGGCATTGGTGAAGTGTCCACTACCAATCAGTTGAACTTACCAGTGATCTAAGAAGAAAGTGGTGAAGGAGAAGGTAGAGCTAGGCAGTTCCCAAGAGTATTCTGAAGTTCCAGGCTATGATCCTAGACTGTTCCATGCTGCTGTTATCAGCAGAAGGACCTCATAATAGTTTTGGTCAAACTTTAACATTGTAGTCGCACATTGAAAGTTGTTGTTGACTCTTGGCAGCAGGGCGCCCAGTCCTAAGTGCCTCCTTCAAGATATAGCATGACCTCAATTCCCTTAAATTTCAACAGGAGTTGATGGCTTTAGCACCTCACAGTAAACCCTTAGTGATCAGTTTAAAGAACCCTTGTCTCATTTATTGCCTCTATTTTACCATGTAAACTTAATCGTGGTCCATGTTTTTTTTGTGGAGAGGAAAAAGGGAAATAATGAATCAGCATCCTGGATACTTCTAAATCCCTTTAATTTCACATGAGGTCCAGCACTGGCATATTGAGGGCATAGATACAAACTTATCCATATCCCCATGCCAACCAGGAGAAAATACCTGAATTATTTTCATTGGGTAAAACTTCAAGATTTAAGTGAACAGCTGTGTTATAAAAGTACAGCTGCCTTGTGATTTTACAGATCACTAAATCTTTATGTCAGGAAAACATTTAAATATGCTGCTTTCCTGAACTGGGGCTTATAACCTGGTTCTACTCTTAAAAGTGACCATGTAAAAATGACATCATCTTACACCACAGATCTTTTCCCTGATATTTGTGTCATATTTTCTCTCTTCGTGACAATTTTTTTGTCACATTTTACACCCATTAAGCATAGAAGAGCCAGTTTAGCTAAGAGATGGTGAATTGAATTCTCTTCCTACCTGTGAATTGTCAACAAAATGTTTTCCTGGGTAACATCTGCAGGCATAGTCAGCTATTCCTGTGCACACCATTGACTCTCAAATGTTAGGTTGAGTTTGCAGATCTAATGATTAGATAAAATATATATATTTATTTTTGAAGTGTTAGCACATTTTTAATAGAAATTAGTGGTGAAATGATAAACATGGAGCCCTACAATGCCATTCTCACCGACTTGCTTTTCAGCATAGACCCACAAAGGTCAGGTGAATTCTGTGGCTAAAAATCAGCATCAGAAGTGAATGATTTCTATTTTACTCTTTTCCCAGCATTGATAGCATGCCAAGTTTAGAGGATCTTTATTCTGACAGTCTTAGTAAAGATCATTGAAAACTTCTCATTTTGAAGTATATGGTACATCCAGATTCACTCTTCTGTAGCACAGGAATTTGCAAATTGCTGGGGGCAGCACCCCCAAGGTAGAGCAGCTGTGTGACAACTCCCCTTCTTGGGGTTCCAATGAAGAAGAGCAGCTTTAAATTCTCTAGGGTGCTCCATAGGAGCCCCACCAGAGGGAGCTGAATCAGAACATCTCTTACCTTTCTGGCCATGTCCCTTTTCTCAGCACCACGGCCCACTTTGCCTGCAAGCCTCCTAGTATGGTTGAGACTGAAGAAGCCTTGTGCCACCGCAACCCACACACACACTGGCAAACATTCCATAACTGGGCACGCTGCACAATGCTCTACACCAGTGCTTCTCAAGCTATCTGATGTGGGGGACCGGCAGTTTTTTTTTCCAATGTGCGCGCAGACCGGCAGCTGTTGGCTTGCGGACTGGCACCGGTGCGCAGAACCCCCACTTTGAGTAGCACTGCTCTACACCGATTGAATGAATATAGCTCTTCGGCTCCTGTAACATGCAAATTATTTATCCTTGAAAAACAGATTTGCAGAGTCTGCCCCCACACTTTTTATGGCCTAGAGTGCAAAGTTTAAAATTATTTTTTTACAAAGACAAAAATGAATATATTACTGATTATATTTATCTGATTTCAGAATGCTTAAACCAAGATCCAAAAGATGTGGATCCCAATGAAGATTGCGATGGTAGGTAATAATGTTCATTCACTCTAGATTTCTGGCCTCAGGCTTAGGTGGTGGACTGACAATTGTTTGAAAGATGACAAACTAGAAAAGGCAATAATAATGGCAGTAACCACAAACCAGTTCAAACAAGGATAAGCCAAGCACTTAGAGATGGAAAAAATGTTATAGGGTGAAAATGCCAGACAAGAGAGCGCGATGGGCCTCCTTATTTCTGGATTTAGTCTCTTTCCGTACTGTGACCTTTGCTGTTGCATTTGTTATGCATGTAGTGTCCAGTGACAAAGAATCAAAGGGCTTCCATTCCATTCACTGTGGCCACTGAAATGTTCTTTGCACAAAAGAGCAACAGTTCTCATTGTTTTCCTTTGCTTGTGGTATTTCCCTTTCAGCTTGTGATAGTTGTGTAATTACTTTGCTGAAAGATTTGAGCGAAATGAGTGATGAGCTTCAGCTGATTAAATCTCAGCTGCAAAATGTCAATGCAAGCACCCACACACTGGAGCAGATGAGGCATTTGGAAACACGCACCAAGGAGTTAAAAGTAAGTGACCTTCTACAAAAAATAAATTTCAGCTGGTGTGTAGACTAGCGTCTGAACACTAGAATTTCATGTCCGTTTGTGTCAACATGGAGTGCAAGCAAATGTAGACAAACTTCTGACACCACAATACACTGCTACTCTTCCCTGGGGGTTACACTGTGGGCTGGCTGCTCTGAGGTCCAGCTGGGGTTCTTAAAAACATCAGTGGCCCCTCCCCCTCCTAGGCCATCCCGACTCATTTTTGTGGGCTGTGCCATCCGGACCCTCCTGTAGTCCCACTACTTTCAGGCAGTTTATATTCTGCACTGCCCACCCAATGAATTTTCTTCAGTTAAGATCCCCTCATTGCTGGTGGATTCAATGGACCAGCTGGTGTAAATCGGTCACCTGTGAAATTAATGAAGTGATACTGATCTTTATACCAGGTGAAGATCTGACCCAGTGTATTTTAACTTATTAGAAGAAATACAGTCCTTGTTCTCCAGTTCCATACGGTCTCTAGGGGGTAGATTTGGTTCAGTTGTCTACACGTTTTTTCTTTATTTTTAGATCTTGTTGAACAGGTACCGTTCAGCTGTTCTAAATCAGGGCTCAAAGGCAGATGAGTTGGAGACAGACTTGATCAATCTTAATCAGGATGTAAATGCTCTACAAGAAAAGGTGACTTACTAAAACAAAGTAAAAATAATCATCTCTTTTTATAACAAAATATTAATTTGTCTGCTCTTTGCTATCTCTAACTGGCTGTTTTCCCCCTCTTGTTAGGCTGAAATGAATTACAGGAAAGCGGAGACATTATTTAATAATTTTGGTCAGACTAATCAAAAAGGAAAAGATTTGGTTTCAAAAATACAAATTGTCATCATCAATATTCAGGGTAAGGGTGATTTCTACTGTTATGTAATGTTTTATTTTACAAAATCTCGTCACCATACATACAATGTTTTTAATTAACTTCTGAAATTTGAGAAGATTTCAGAAATCAACTTTATAAAATAAAAAGTTAGATACAATGGGCACACTTCAAACCTGCTACAATTCTACTAGCTTCAGTGGCATTACTGTTGATTAATTTCAGTTTAATGCAATTAACCTAAAGTGTGTTTTGTCTCACTGAAAGTTCCTTAGTACGCTTTAATCTATTCCCATTTCAAAGTGGAGAAGATCAAAGCATATTGCAGAATTTTTAGTGCACAGCAGCTGGGTGTACACAGACACTTAGTTCATGGCAGGCTAGTGTGAGGGTAGATTTACACTCCAGCTTGCCACGGACTAAGTGTCTGTATAGACAAGCCCTCAGTAACGAATGCAAGATTGGACTTTATGTGCTTAAAAAGAAGAGCAGCTCTGGGATTTGTCTCCCTTGTGTAAATCTAAGTATCTTCTCTGTTTGAATGTGATATTTCCTTTTTTCAGTGCTCGTGGAACAGATAGCTGGCACCAATGCAGGAGGTAACACATTGCCCGTGGGGGATGCTGCCAAGGAACTGGCTGAAGCAGAACAGATGATGAGAGAGATGCGAAAACGCAACTTTGTACAACTGCAAACAGATGCAGAGAGGGAGAGAAGAGAAGCTCAACTCTGTAAGGGGTCCTTCTTGAGCTCTTAGCTTGTTATTCTGCTTAGTTTAAAATGTTCAAATCTTGTGTCTGAAACATAAGAGACTACAAATGATGACGCTCAGGGAGTGATACAGAATTTCAGCATCTGATCGCACCTTTGCAATGTATTTCAGTCATCAGCTTTTGTACAAGTGAACATAGTGATTCTGAAGGAGGTTAAGAATGTTTAATGTAATCATGAAAGAAGTTAAGTTGGGGAAAAATCAAAATAATGTCCTGATATCTGTTTTCTAATGCATTATTTGATCTCTAAATGAAAAAGTCCTATATCCATCTATCCACTAGCTAATTATAAAGCACAGAAACAGTGTAAATATAAATTATATAAAATAATATAGTGTGCGCAGATAGTCCATAAAAAAATCTACATTAAGAAACTATTAAAGCAGTATAGTTGAGCACTCAAAGGTCAAGAAGTACAAAAGTTAAGGTTGCATCCCAGTCTTGTGTCCTCTTCATGTCGTTCCATATTATAATATGGTCTGTCATTATATGATCATATGTTATTTCTGAAATAATATAATACACTATAATTTCATATGTATTTTTTCAGCAACTTTTTTATGTGTGCAGTAAAACCAAATTCAAGCCCCACTGAAATCAATGGAAAGTCTCCCATAGCCTTCGGTGGGTGCTGGATCAGGCCTTGAGTGAGGTAGAGCTCAGCAGGATTCTTTATGTCATTCACTGCACAATGATTTCCATGGAATCTATTTGTCTGGCATACACAATGTCGTGCATCTGAGCAGAGCATGCTGCACATACATATCTAAGGTTGTAGGCCAAAATTGTGTAGTAGGGGCAAAGAATTCCATCTGTGACCGTATTTCCCTCTGCCATGGTAGGAAGGCTTTGGCTAACAGATCCATTCTCTCCATGGCTGACAGCTCTATTTCTGACTTGTCTGTGGCCCATAATATCCCATGTGTCACACTGTAAGGTGGGAATACCTCCCACCCCACTCCTGCCATCTCTACTGGGACATCAGGAAAAGCCCATTCTCCCTCGATACTATTCTTCAGATTGCTCTAATTAACAGGTGGGAAGGCAGGGTCACACACTCCTCTGATGGGAAGGAGGTGCAGTGGAGAAGAAAGGTAGACATGGTCTCCTTCGGAGGGGTTTTCTCTCCAGGACTGGAACAAGCGGCTGCTGAGGTGCCCTACAGAGCTCCTGGTTACATTGTACCATAGATGCACCTTGGGCGAGAATTTGGCCTGCTGCTTGACAATGTTCTCTCAGTGCTACATAGAAGTCAGTCATGTAACTTAACCATCACTGGGGAAGAGTAGATTGTAAAGCCCCAGTTTGTGGCACAACTTCAGCATTACTTAAATACAGATTTAGACTTTTGGAGCTGATGGCTTTACCCAGTTTCTCCCTGGCCTTGTTTGGTGATGAAGCTGAATTAGATTAACATTTTTTTAAAAAATCTAGTATTTCCAAAAGTTCACCTTCAACCATATTTCGTTTAGAGCTGATTTGTCATGTTAAATTATCCATAGTATTCTGGATCCTGAAAGCAGCACATTTATCACTGATGGGATGACACACTGAAACTATATATGTTAAGGATACACAGCATCTCACAAGCCTGGGCCATTTAATCCGAAAGGCAGAACCTCGCAGGGTGAAGTTAATTTTGTTTTGCTTCTGTTAATCTTTTTCAATTCTAATCTTGCAGTGCTGGAGCGTGTTAGGAATGAGCTACAAAAGCACCAGCAAGAAAACCATGGAGTTGTTAAAACGATAAGAGATTCATTAAGCGAATATGAATCCAAACTCAGTGATCTTCGTAAAGCTCTCAATGAAGCAACTGGCCAAACGAAGCAGGCTGAAAACTTAAACAAAGATAATGGAGTGCTCTTGGAAGACATTAAGGTAATAGCACTTTTTAAAAAACTGGACTTATTAGATGGGAGGAAATATTTCTGTCTTACTTTTGGCCTTCTTGTAAAGCCAAATTCAATTCATTCTGAGCCCGATTCCCATTTGCACAAATGTCTCTTTCCACCTCTCTGGCAGTGCAAAGAGGTCTTGAAATGGGTGTAACAACTGTCCTATATTCCCACTTAAGGGCCCCTTCATATAACCAAAGTGGTGTAGAGGGGGTTTAGTATACATGAGAATCTGGATGCTCTCTGCTCCGAATATTTCCGTCTTCAGCTATAATTATTCATTTTGTCTTCTGTGAGCGTAGTAAACTGAGCACAGGACAAAGAGTCAGGAGCTCTAGGCTCAGTTCCTGACTCTGTCACTGTCTCATTGTATAAAGAAAAGGCGTACTTGTGGCACCTTAGAGACTAACCAATTTATTTGAGCATAAGCTTTCGTGAGCTACAGCTCACTTCATCGGATGCATACTGAAGTGAGCTGTAGCTCACGAGAGCTTATGCTCAAATAAATTGGTTAGTCTCTAAGGTGCCACAAGTACTCCTTTTCTTTTTGCGAATACAGACTAACACGGCTGTTACTCTGAAACCTGTCTCATTGTATGGTTCTTAGCTTGTCTCTTAACCTCTCTGAGCCTCCGTTGCCCTGTAAAATGGGAATAATGATGCTTATCCACTGTTGTTAACCTGCTTTGAGATCTATGGATGAAAATCACTAAATAGTGCTAGTTATTAATTATTGATAAATAAGCGCTGCCTGCCATCCTGTCTCATCAGAAATGCTCATCAGCACTGTTTGTGGTGATGCCTAATGCAGTAAAAATTAAGTTAGACTTTTCACGTATTTAATAAGTCCCTGAACTCTTGTAGATGTTATAATGAATAAACAAAATTGGTCGGAATTAATGCGAGGAATGTGTGCATATGATAGCCTGTATTCTCTTAAACAAATAGTATTTCTGATTCAAAGGACACTGCATTGTTTTATCAAAGCTAAGTTTTCAGCTTTTTTGTTGCACTTCTTGGACAGTAGAATCACTACTGTCAACTGTACATTACAATTGTTCAGTATATTACATGTCAGTGTAGGGCATCACCTCTAACAATATAGCTAAAAATATTTACAGACTGTCTTAAATGGTGGAAGTATCTGCACAGATCATTAATCCATTTTTGCCTTTGCCTCTGCCGCCAGTTGAAATGTTTGTGTATTTGTGATAAGATTAAATTTGATATGATAGATAGAGGGGAGGATGGGTTGATTGCAGACCTTACTATTGGGATGACTTGCACACACTTGGATACAAATACCATGTGACTGTGATTTTGAGGTGCATTATCCTGCCACAACCTCAGGGTCATTGTACTTGCTGCTGTAGGGCTGTGCTGGACTCTTCTCCCCACTGATCCCTCCACTGAGCAGGAGATGCTGGAACCAAGCATCTTCATTCATTCTCCCCTGAGAGCTTTCCAGAGAGGGCAAGCTGGAGAGCCTTCCCTTTCCCTCACTGGTAAGACCCAAAGAGGGAGTCCAACTGTAGAGATGGTTTCAGTCTTTCAGAAGGTTTGGGAGAGGGGAACAGGGTTTCTTGTTTTTATATCCTCCAGCGCTGAGAGGAGAGAGGCCCAGGATGTCAATGCTTTGAGGCAGTGTGAGGAGTTGATTAGGGCTTCTCTAGCTGTGTCTATACACTGATAGGCAAACAAAGCTCTAGTTGGCTCCTCGCTTGGCTTGACAAACTAGGCTGTGCTAATGTAAATTTCCCCAAATACCTGTGAATATCAGTAAGTCATTAGATCCCCAAAAGGCACCTTGATAATACACCGATGAGAGCTTTGGAAATGATGCTGCTAACTTAGGTTGACTAGATGGTCATTTGATTTTTCCCCCACCCCTAATAGCTGAACTGATCACATGCTTTCCAACCCTCCAATTTTCCTTAGAAACAAATTGAAGTGATGAATAAACAACATAACGATGTCTTGGATCATCTCAACTCTGCCCAGTCTTCCTTGTCCCAGACTAACAGCATACTTGGATTACTTCAGAAGAGCAAAGAGGTATAGTTAATCAAAATGTGACATTTTAAATTTAAAAAACACTGAGTAAAAACTTACATCATTCTAATTGAAGTAAAAGTACAATGGGATAGATAATAATGTGATTGACTCCTATGAACTGCAGTCTGTGAAAAGGGGTTTTCTTTTTTCCCTTGCTCTACACAGCTGTGCAAGGAAATGGGGATTACTTCACATGCAGAACTAAGGGTGAAGTGCTGACTATCAGACACTTTGTAATATGTGCAAGTAAAAATAAGATTTCTGTTTATAAAATCACAGGAATATGAAAATCTAGCTGCCAAACTAGATGGAGCAAGGAAGGACTTGAATGAAAAACTGAAGAACCTTTCCTTATCAGCCAGCAAAGAGCCACTGGTGGTGAGGGCAGAGGAGCATGCCAACTTTTTGCAAGATCTGGCAAGACAACTGGCAGAGTATGTTCTAATTTCTGTAAACGAACAGTTCAAGTACATGATGTACTATATTGTAATGTACTGTACATCATTTCACTTCCCTTTAAGGTGACCTGTAAAAGCAGAAAAAAATTGGGTTTGTCCCTCATTTTGCAGCTTTTTGGTGCATAAAGTTTTCTTTTTTTCTGCTTGCTTTTTGTCTTAGACATTTAAGTCTTAAGTCTTGGTCTGTTTTTCCTGAAATGCTCTTTCAGGGTCCTGGGAACTTGAGTTTGTGCAGTATCTGGCACAATTCAGGCCTGATTGTGATTGGGCCTTGGGCTATCACCAAAATACAAATTAATAATAATGGAGTGATCATGAGCATCAAGGAAGCCAAACCTGAAAATTGAGAAAAGAAGGAAATTTTAGTCATTTTTAGTCAAACTTTTTAAAATGCTTTTTTCCCTTTTGCTTGATTTTGTTGATATATATTTAACTCCAATGCCTGATATATGGTTGGGAGAAAAGTTTTCTGAGTGGAAGAATCTTCACCTCTGTCCCTTTAATTGCTCACAGTTAAAGTTCACACTAATTTTCTGGTGCTCCAACAAATCCTCCAGGAAAGTCAGAGCAAAACACTTGATATACTTGATATTTCTAAGGTAAAGTATAGGTAGGGAAGGGAGGGACCCTTAAAATAAATAAAGTTTTTGAGACCTTGTGTATATATATTAAAGAAGCAAAAAAGGGCAGAACTCTATTTTGTTTCTTTGCAAATAACTTTCACCTAGCCCTAATGCTAACAAGAAAACTCCCAAAAGGTAAAGTAACCCCCATAATATGCCATCTGGATGGAAATGACTTTGCTCAAAAATCTGGTTGTGAGATTTTGGCTAGTTAGAATCATAGAACATAGAGTCATAGGGTTAGAAGGGACCGCAAAGGTCATCTAGTCTAACCCCCTGCCAAGATGCAGGTTTTGTTGTGTCTAAACCACCCAAGACAGATCCAGCCTCCTTTTGAAAACTTCCAGTTGTCCTTGCAGCTTGGTCAGTTAACAAAACAGTGTTGTCATAAATATCGACCAGGCAGTCTTGGATACCTGGCACTGCACAGCTCACGGTGAATTGAGCACAAAGGTTTTTGTCTCTTATCTTTCCCTGGTTCCAGGGCTGCTGGGCTGCTTCCCGGTGCAAGATAGAGCAGCCCTGAAGCGAGTCTGTCTTACGCTGGGCTGTCCATGGCCCGCCAAGGGCTGTTCCAGCAGCTGGGGATTAACTGGAGGTTGCAGCTCTCTGACCAATGCCCTTACACTGGGGGCTGTGATGGGGGTGGCACAGAGCTGGCCATGTTGAGCTGTTGAAATTGCCAGGAAACCTTTTCACTTACAAGCTGCTTTGCAGCACCAGACTGGTGTAAAGCAGCGTTACTGGAGACCAGAATCTGGCCCCTTATGTCAAAATACTATGTGCTATTGGTCGTTTTTGTTGTAAAACATTTGCATTTCCTTCATCAGCATTAATTAGCAAATATTTAGATTAAATGCTGTTTAAAATAAGTCATTCTTTGTTTTTTAGTCTGCAGTTTTTGCCCATGGCTGTATTTTTCACCCTGTTTTCCACAGAATTAAGAGAAACGCCAGCAATGATGAGTTGGTGAACTGTGCCATGGAAGCTGCTACTGCCTATGAAAATATTATTAATGCCGTCAGTGCAGCCGAGGAAGCAGCCAGCAAAGCTGTAAATGCAGCTGATTCAGCTTTACTGGTAAGGGCATTATGTTGTCAAATGATTGTAATTTTGTTACAAACAGGTGATCGTTATGATTAGCTGGGCACTGAAGTTGAACTCGTGCCTGCCTCATTGTACACATACAAGGCGTATATTTGCACCTAGAAATTATCCATTTGCAGGTACAATTACTGTTCTGCATATTCAGATGTTGGTTTTGCATGTGCACTATGGGTCACAATTTAGGTGCTACCCATGTCTGACTGTTGGTCCATAGGCTGTAGACAAGAAGATGACAGAAGGCACAGTTTTCCACTAAGAACAAACATTGCTTTTAAGGGCGGTGTCATACTCAGGGTTTCACCAGTAGCACTAGCTGTGAAGGGAGGGGTATCTTCTTTTTGTTGGAAACATTTGTTCCTTTTATTGTTTAAACTAGATTAGATTATTAATTTTTACTCTTTCTGCTTTGTTTTTCTGCTTTGAGTTCAATTATAAAACTAATCTTACAGTACCGTGCTTTATCACCAGACTGTGGAGAGGGAAGACCTAGCAGGAAAAGCCAAGAGACTGAACACTGAAAGCAGCAATCTATTAAATCAAGCACAGATGACACAAAAGACATTACAAGGTACTGTAAAAAGCAAGATGATAACAGGAATGTTTATACAGTATTAGAAATTCTCATTTAAAAGTCACTGTTTATGGTTCTGATTTAGCAAAGCTCTGTAGCACACACTTAACTGTAAGCAGGAGAGGGTAGCTCCATTCTTACCTATTATAATGGAACATGATACTATGGTTTAGAAGTTCCTTCTGCAAGAGGGTGAGGTGGATTCTTCAACTTCAGTTATGGTCCACACTGTGGGATGCCAAATTCTACCATTGCCCCCTCCGCTGCAATTCTCTTCTACAGCAAGACCTTATCCTTAGATTTGCTGCGGTCCTGCTCTTAAATTGTTCAGTTCAGCCTTAGACTCCTATTGAAGCAGAAGGGTCTGTCTTCACTGCAAAAAAATAAGTGTGTTTTTACATCAAGATAGCTATCTCAAGTTAAGATCTGCGGTCATAGGGTGGGTGAGTTACCTAAACCGAGCAAAACCAGTACCATTACATTCTATATGCTTTATAGTCTTAGAAGTAAATTTGGTTAGTTACCTCAAACTAACACATTGTTTATAATAAACCTGGTTTCCTGATACTCCTGCTGATAGAAGCTGGAGATTGAGTGTAATTTAAATCTTATATATAGATTAAAAATTGAATATATTCCTAAAGTGTCATTTTAAATGGTTTTCTCTGGGTGTTCCTAAGCCTTCTGACTGCCAGATTCTGGACATGGATGTCATGGGATAGTTCACTCAATAATTGCCCTGGTTTGTTAATTCCCTCTGAAGTGTCTGGGATTGGCCGCTGTCGGAAGACAGGATATTGAGCTACATGGACCATTGGTCTGACCCAATAGAGCTGTTTTAATGTTCTTAATACTTCTTGGGAAATCCCAAGACATTGTAGTTCTGTAAACATGTTTCAAATTGTAATAAGAGCTCTTTAACCAAGAATGCTACAAAAAGGACTGTAAAATATATTGTGGTATTGATAGGATTTGGTTGCTGACCAGAAAGACAGGGAGAGTAGGCCGTGGGGCCTAATGAATAAAACATTGGACTAGGGCTCAGGAGATATTGGTTCAATTCCTGGCTCTGCCATTGGCTTGCTGGGTGACCTTAGGCAAGTCACTGTAACTTCTCTATGCCTCAGTTTCCCCATTTGTAGAATGGGGATAATGATACCGACCTCCTTTGTAAGGTGCTTTGGAATCTACTGATGATCAGCGCTATACAAGAACTAGGTATTAGTGTATTTTAAAAACAGGCTTTTGTCTCTGCAACAGATGTGATTGTCAAAGAGAAAGAAGTATGCAAATTGCAAAGACTATTTAGTGTATTGCTTAGTGTACTCTGAATGGCTCAGAAAGGTTGAGCATCATCTCCAAGAACAGAATCCTAATACAGTAGGAACATTTTGATCTGGTTGAAACACCTACATTTAAAATATTCAAACCGGAAAAATAGGTAAGGCAAGGTTTGGGGCTAGTCACTCAAAAAGGCTATATATAATAGATATAATCCACTGACCATTGCCACTGATCTATAAGCATGCTCCTACTTGTATTATTATGGGTGTGTGCGGAAGTTTTTTTTAAAAATCCTTTAGATTGGGACATAAAGTATGAGTTAAATTCACCAGGCACTTCCACTGGGAGAGCCACTGCAGAGGGGCTCCAGGAGGCCTGTGCACTCCTAAATGTGGGCAGCACTAACTAAGGAAGGGTGTGGTCGGGAAGGCTAGGGAATGCACTGATTAACTCCCTCAGCAGCCATTGTCAGTGGGGCCCTTATGGAAACAAAAGCTACTCTCCCCTTGGGAGAGGTAGAGGGAGGGTGTCTCCATTTCTTGCCATTATAATGTAACATCTGATTCTGCAGTAAAGCATCTCAGCATCTTTAACTGAAATGGGATCCACGTATTGTACTTGCCTTTTGTCCCTTTGTTTTATCGGGTATCCTATGTTTAACACACGCCTGTGGGATTATGCCGTGCACGTCTGTTTGCCAAACCCCTGAATAGCTTAAATTGCACAATATTGACAGGTCTGTTAATGAAAAGCAAAGGTAGGCTTTCTGCACTGTTATTTTGATCCATAAATATATTCTGTGCTAGCAGTAACCTGGGAAACATTCATAATGGTGCATGCTTAGTAGAGTATTTACCCTTTCTGGAATGCAGCCAATAGAGGGTGACATGGTCACACACGCTTGAGCAGTTCTGATGTTCCATCCTGTAGAGATCAGTGGTCCACACACATATGCACACTTACATTCATTACAGGTGGCCCAGCAGATACACAAGCATACAATCTTATAGTATATAGATCATAGTATAATATTTCATCCTGTTTTCCATTCTCTTCTTTCATGGCTTCTTCACTTCTTTGATTCCCATCCATTATATTAACAGCGACAAAGGGGCTGAATGAAGTACTTCCACCACTTCTATCTTGTACCAGCTTGTCAAGGTTCCTCCCCCACTCTGAACTCTAGGGTACAGATGTGGGGACCTGCATGAAAACCTCCTAAGCTTACTTTTACCAGCTTAGGTTAAAACTTCCCCAAGGTACAAATTATTTTATCCTTTGTCCTTGGAATAACCACTGCCACCACCAAACTCTAACTGGGTTTACTGGGAAACGTAGTTTGGACACGTCTTTCACCCCAAAATCCTCCCAACCCTTGCACCCCACTTCCTGGGAAAGGTTTGGTAAAAATCCTCACCAATTTGCATAGGTGACCACAGACCCAAACCCTTGGATCTGAGAACAATGAAAAAGCATTCAGTTTTCTTACAAGAAGACTTTTAATAGAAATAGAAGTAAATAGGAGTAAAGAAATCACCCCTGTAAAATCAGGATGGTAGGTACCTTACAGGGTAATTAGATTCCAAACATAGAGAATCCCTCTAGGCAAAACATTAAGTTACAAAAAAGACACACAGACAGAAATAGTCATTCTATTCAGCACAATTCGTTTCTCAGCCATTTAAAGAAATCATAATCTAACGCATACCTAGTTAGATTACTTACTAAAAGTTCTAAGACTCCATTCCTGATCTATCGGCAAAGCAGCATACCAACAGACACAGACCCTTTGTTTCTCTTCCTCCTCCCAGCTTTTGAAAGTATCTTGTCTCCTCATTGGTCATTTTGGTCAGGTGCCAGCGAGGTTACCTTTAGCTTCTTAACCCTTTACAGGTGAGAGGATTTTTCCTCTGGCCAGGAGGGATTTTAAAGGGGTTTACCCTTCCCTTTATATTTATGACACAGCTTCACAGCTTTGTTCATCTTTAAACCCTCTTGGTCTATGTCATTCTTCACCACATCTATCCAATGTATCTTGCCCTCGCCATTTTCTTATCTCTTCATTTTTTATTTTCTGCAGTCTTGAAACTCTGAGTATTTCCCTCAGCAAGTTCATTTCTGCAGTCAAAATCTTGCATTCATTGGCTTTCCTCATACTCTTGCTCTCCAATCCGTACAGCAGTATCGACACAACAGTGGTCCCATACATGCTAGGTTTTGTTTTTATCAAAATGTCTTTATCCTTCCAGATCTTGCAGTTATCTGAATGCAGTAGTGGTTCTTTTTTTATAATGTCATCTTCACAATTCTCATTCTTCATTACTAGTCTTCTAAGGTATGTCCCCTTGTGGCAGTATTATAATCACTAGTCATAATCATAATGGGACATTGTATTTTTATTTGTGCATTATATACATAATATATAATCATAATGTATTGAATATTCATAATAATGTATCCCCAAAATCTGTGCCCTTCTCTTAAGCTGCCTTAATCACTCATTTTTTCCTATTCTGAGGGGCAGAATGGGTATCTTCACCCCTGGTTACTATCTGCGCTACTACCTAAGTTGTTTAACAGGGATGGAAAAGGTAAATGCCCAAAGCTCATGTGACAGTGCAGAGTGCCGCTGCCATTCCACCAGGTGGCCGAGGGCACCTTTGTATAACACCCACCAGGCTGATTCATAGTACACTGTTTTTCAGATATTAATCCAACTCTTGAAGATATAAAGCAGAGACTGGGTATTGTGGAAGGAAAGCAGAACAGGATGCTGACTGACCTTGTTTCTTTCCAAAATGATCTCAGTGGGATAAATAGAGGTCAGTCATTTACCGAGCACATCTACTTTATGTGATTCTGCTGTTGTTTAAAGTATTTACTTAGACTTTTGTGTGTGTGTGTTTTAGATGACATAGACAGCGTCATTACCAGTGCAAAGAACATGGTCAAAAATGCCAATGATATCACTGCTAATGTACTGGATGAACTGAACCCAATTAAAGCAGATGTGGAAAAAATAAAGGGCACCTATGGAAGCACTCAGAGTGCTGACTTCAATAAGGCTTTGACGGAAGCTAACAATTCAGGTGGGTGCTGTGCTTGCTCTTTGCTAATGTGTGTTGTTTAACGCCTCTCAAATTTCTGTCAGAGTAACCAGGTAGACATAGTGATAATAATTATTATTATTTGTTTCTGGTGGCATCCACTGTGTGCAAGGTGCTGTAAAAACGTAAGAGGCATAGTCATTACCCTAGGGAACTTATATGCTGAATTTGTTTTTAGCTCTGTAGAATCTGAGTCTGATGGAATAAAATAAAATACAGTATGTGAAATTAACCCCATTGTTAATGATGTAATAATAATAAGAGATGGTGCGTCTGAATGAAGGTGGCTTTTAAAACAATAGTGTTATGATAAGGTGGATAATTAAACCATAACAATGAAAAGTGTTGTGAGTTTCTGGATGGTGTATTTTATGTAAGCACAACTGCATTGTTTGAGAGTTTCAGAGTAACAGCCGTGTTAGTCTGTATTCGCAAAAAGAAAAGGAGTACTTGTGGCACCTTAGAGATTAACTAATTTATTTGATCATAAGCTTTCGTGAGCTACAGATATATGCATCCAATGAAGTGAGCTGTAGCTCACGAAAGCTTATGCTCAAATAAATTGGTTAGTCTCTAAGGTGCCACAAGTACTCCTTTTCTTTTATTTACAAGTGTTTTTCTTCAGTATAACTGCTGGTGTCAATGGAGCTACTCCTGATTTACACCAGTGTATGCAAAATGAAAATTACATTAGCTAACCATATGTATAGCAAATTTGGTCAACCCCTAGCATCCAAAAACCATGAGATTGGCTTTAAAATCATGAGATTTTTAAAAATAATAAATTTGGAGTTCTTTTTATTTGGCTTTTAAGCCTTTAGACACGTGTCACATTTCCAGGCTTTTCTCCACAACCATGAGGGTTAAAAACTTAGGTTTAAAAAAAAAAAGAAAGCTGAGATTCTCATGTAATCTGTTTTCTCCAGGAGCTGGGATTTTAAGGAAACACCAAATATTGTGAGACTTGAGATAAGACTATCAGAGTTGACATTTTTTGCATGTGTATCTCTCCTCCTTTCCAGTCCCCCAATAATTTTTTTCTCTCATCACAATAACAGTAAAGAAATTAACAAGCAAGCTCCCGGATCTGTTTAACAAGATTGAGAGCATCAACCAACAGCTGATGCCAATAGGCAACATATCTGAGAATGTAAACCGCATAAGAGAGCTCATTCAGCAGGCCAGAGATGCTGCAAACAAGGTCTATCACAAAAACATCCATTATTGCTTGACACGAGGGATTTTTGTACACAAGGATGCTTTCAATCCCCTCTGCAAAATATTTTGTTATATGATGTATGAAGGATACTACATAAAAATTAATCTGTTGGCTTTAGCGAGCACTTTAGATACTGTGGTGGTGGGCACCAGAATAAACTAGATACAACAGTATAGTATACCTTTCCTTCTGCCCCACTCCAAGGTCCCTCTCCTAGCCAAGATCATCCCTACAATTCCCATTTTGGTATTTCCTCTCCTTTCAAAGGCTTGTTGTTGTGGTGACCTTCTCTCCAGTGGAGGAGGGCTGGATGCTGCTCTTTGAAGCCAGTCACTGTTGATCGGAACAGAGGTTCTCAAACTGATCTGTGATTCACTGGCGATCCACAGAGAGCTGGCAGGTCACACAGCGTTGCTGATGTTTGTTTCTAACCTCTATATTGCACTAAAAGGCAGCTAAATATACATTACTTGGATAGTATCATTTTCCCATTGATTGCCACGGGATGATGTGATCACAAATAACAGGGCAAGTGTCCACGAGACACTCTCCATTAAGATGTGGTCCACACTGAAAAAGATTTTGCTCGGATGTTGGCCTAAAGAGAACTTCTCAAGTATACTGGTGTTGTATATCTTTATTAGCTACATGTTGTAGTACCTGACAGGCAGTGAAGCTAGGGAACTGAGCAAAGGGCCTGAGATCTAGGGCTGGCGCAAAGCATTGAGACCAAAATTTCAACCCAAGTGCCTAAAGTGAGGCATTTATATCCATGTGTAGGCATCTGAATAAGAGGCCTGATTTTCAGAAGTGTTGAGCACTAACAGCTCCATTTGACCTGGACTCTTTGTTGCCTCAGCTGTAAAATGGGAATAATAATTACAATACAAAGGTGTTGTGGGAACTGATTAGTTAATTTCTGAAGATATAAAGTGCTGCATAAGTACTAAGTATTAGTAATAGTAGAGTAGTACCTACACTTCTCTATAGTTATGTTGGTTTAGAGTCTGATCTTGCAGTGTTGTAGCAATCCATGGCTGTTAGTCATAGGTCACTTAGCACGGACACAAACCAGTGTTGTTAGGGAGGTGATGCCTTTTTTAATTTAAAGGTAGAAATGTTTACCCTATTGTATTTGTTGTTCTTGGTAGGTTGCTATTCCCATGAGGTTCAATGGTCGTTCTGGGGTAGAGGTTCGACCTCCAAGTGATCTTGAGGATTTGAAAGGCTATACTTCCCTTTCTTTTTTTCTCCAAAGACCTCTGCCAAGACAAGATGGCTTGCAACAGGCTTCAAATATGTTTGTAATGTACCTGGGTAATAAGGATGTAAGTATTTCTTTTGATTTACTCCAATACTTAGAACAGAAAATGCATTTTGGAGTATAAAGGGATGTCAATGTAGATAACTTCCATTAGCTTAATTTTTTTATGTGTAGGAATACATTTATTGGGAAGAAACATAGCCCTTTCCTCCACTGGACACATAACTGTTTGGGCAAATGTCTATTTCTCTTATCCTGCTGTTCTGCCTTAAAAGTTACTTCCCAATAATGGATGCCACCAGTTAATCTTGGCAGTGACCCTAACTTGTAACCATGGACTTCATTGTAAAAATGTTTGCTTCGGGCTTCCTGTGTGTTTGTATTGCTCCTAGCACCGTGGGACCCTGATCCTCTTTCAGGCCTCTGAGTGTTACTGCAGTATAACTAATAACAAACCTTTTCTTAATTGGGTTTATAAATGCTCCTCTTATTTAAAATTTAGTCCCTTACCTCTTTATTTTCCCTCTCCTGCATATGCAAAACAATACATTCTTGCTCATGCACTCCCATTTGCACAAACACCTAGCACAATTCCCCAATTTTCCTATGTATATAGGTACCACCTATCAGTTTGTATGCTCAGTTACCCACCTGTACATGCATTCACTATAAATGTGGTGGATATGCAGGTACATGTTTAAGTGCAGTTATTCCGCAGTGGATTTTATCTTCCTGATTAAATCTCAGGAAAAACTTCCTAAATGTAAAAACAGTAGAACAATGGAACAGACTGCCTACGAAGGTCATGGAAGCTCCTTCACTGGAGGCTTTTAAAAGGAGGCTTGATAGTCATCTGTTTTGTATAGTTTAGACCCGACAAATCCTGCATCTTTGCAGGGAGTTAGACTAGACGATCCTTGCAGTGCCTTCTAACCCTATGGTTCTACGATTCTAGTCTTTCTGAACATTTGGCCTATGATGGCTTTGATTGAGGTTTATTGAAATACTCTGTATGGGAGAAATAAAAGGGTAATTGTATGGAAGATTATTGCTCCTAGGGATCTCAATAGGAGCAATTGGACTTAATATTGTTTCTTCCATTTTACTTATCTCGCAGAGGCATTGTGAGACTAAAATAATTAGTATGTATATAGTGTTTTGATAACCTCATGTGGAAGGCACTACAAACGTAGAAAGCATTTTTATTGGTAAGTAATATTTTTATTATAGTAATAAAAGTAAGAGTTGTGTTTGGACTCCATTCAATCCAAGTGCATAGGACTCTTAAATTGATTTGAAATTATTATTATTATTGAAACAGAGCAGCCAATGAAGCTACAAAACAGCCATCCCAAAATTAGTAAACTGAAAAAAGTTTCTAAATGCAATGATTGCTACATTAGGAGCATAGCTTTCAAAGCATTGCAGTGTCCCTGAAGTAATTTCTACTATATTTTACCAGCTCTAGCATCAATCATTCATTGATAGTTGATTTGCTCTTCTATTTTTAGGCTTCCAAGGACTACATTGGTATGGCTGTGAGAAATGGTCGTCTCATTTGTGTTTATAACCTGGGAGGCAATGAAGCCGAAATAGAAGTGGACCCATCAGTGACTGAGAGTAACACTGAGGAAGCTACTTTGGATCGGGTGAAGTTTGAAAGGTATGAGACTCTTAAAATACAACCGACTCTATCCCTTTTTTCTGTATCATATTTAGATGTTACTTTATTAATAAAATGCGCTATTCCTTTACTTTTTCCCTTGGCTTTTAGGATTTACCAGTATGCAAAGTTGAATTACGTTAAAGCAGCAACCTCTGACAAGAAGACTTTTGACAGTAGCAGTGGGAGCAGTCACACACTCCTAAATCTGGATCCCAACAGTGTTGTCTTTTATGTGGGAGGATACGCACCAGATTTTCAGGTAAATAGAAATATCATTCTGGCCTGTAAAAGTGTTTAATCATCATAAATAGGGATTTTAACCATTGAGTATTCTATAGCTAATACTTTTGATTATTTATACCATGTTATAGTGCTTCTTGGATGGCAACATGTAGCTTAAACAATATCATTTATTCGCAATACATTTTAATAGTTACAGCTTTCAGAGTAACAGCCGTGTTAGTCTGTATTCGCAAAAAGAATAAAAAGAAAAAAAATTTCTTTTTGCGAATAGTTACAGCATTACTGTTTTCATGTCTGTGTAAACATTATTAAATTGATGTTGATGTTTTGGTTGGTTTTTTTTTATGGCTCTTTTATTTTTTGCAGCCTCCCAGTGCACTAGACTACCCTCGTTACCAAGGCTGCATTGAATTAGACAACCTAAATGAGAATGTTATTAGCCTGTACAACTTCAAGAGGACATTTAATCTCAATACCACTGAAGTGGAGCCATGCAGTAGGTAAGAAATAAACACAGCAAGTGTTCTACATTAAGAAATTGAAAAAACGTTATCACTGATAAATTAAGATTAAGTGTATTTCCTGTTGATGTGACCACTTAAAATCAGGGCAAATTACCATTTACTAAAGCAGTCATACCCACAGCAACTTCAGTTCACATACCCTGCCACCCAAATATTCTAATAACCAGACACATATTCAAACACCTCAGCTCCATGGCATACAATGTTTGGCTTCTTTATAGCCTAAAATGACATTAAAAAGAAACATCAGGTCCCTAAAACATTTTAAATAAGATTTTTCTTCTCTAGAAACCGTATCTTAATCCCACTGAGGTTAATGAGAAATAGACTTCAGTGGGGTCAGGATTTGGCATTACTAGAATCTGGTCACCCCTGTTACTGAATATTTTGTTTTAGGCTTTTTTAAAAATTACATTTAGTGTGGTTCTTGTTATGTCCATGTGGTAGCAATTATTTGCTCCCATATATTCTGATTTATGATGTTTCATTGTTACAGATATAAAGCAGAGTCTGACCAAAACTATTTTGAAGGCACAGGCTATGCACTTGTCACAGCTAGAGAAGCAAATATTCCTAATTTGCTCTACGAGCAGGAAATTGAAACTACTGCAGATGAAGGCTTGGTGTTTTTTGCAGAAAAACAGGTAACTAATGGAGTGATTCTAACTTTTGAGTACTATATATACTTATAATAATTTGAAAACTGAAATTAATTGAGAAAGTGCTCGGAATAATAGCTCTCAAAACTACCATAGCCATCTGTGAAATGGATTAGCAAATTCTGTCCTATGTTTTATTGCTACTGAATATTAATTATAACACATTTTAGAAATAGACATTTAAAGAACAGATGCTGATTATAGCAGTGAATAGAGAGTGTGAGGTACTGTATGGTGAAGAATTGCCCCATTACTCACTTGAATGATGGCATCTCCATCTTAGAAGAAACAGGCTCAGAGGGAGAATTGTTGGTGGCAATGTTTTGTTGTGATGACCTGATAAGTTTTAAAAAAGGCTATTCTTGAGCCAGTCAAATCTTTGTCTTGCTTTCAAGAAGAAATTACTATTGTAATGTGCATCCCTGAAATACCCCATACAAATAGAAGGTGATGAATAATTTGTAAGGATCAAATCATCTCACTTCTCCCAAAGCCACTGAGGTTATGAGAGGCAGCTGGAAATGGAGGATGGTAGCATTAATGAAAATGCAATAGATGGGCTGCAGTTTTAACTGCTTTGACCCTGTATATGGCTCTGAAAGAGACCCCCAAAAGAGTAAGAAAAATACATTGTTGTTATGAATCATGTTACAGATAAATCACATTTTGGTAATGTAAACCTTCCTTTAAAAGGACTCTGTATACATTTTTCCTTTTCATCAAAGCAGTTATTTTTGTGATATTGGTACATGACAAAGGGAATTGTGTAACCCAAAAAAATGTAATAGTCACTTGTGCCTACCTTTCAAAATTATAGGCCAAATTCTGCTCCCAATTACTCCAGTTGAACCCATTGACTCCAATGGAGTTGTACCAGTGTAACTGAGAGGAACATTTGGCCCTATACTGGTATCTGAGATGAGTGCTTTTTTGATTTAGGTATTGTGATTAGAGCTGATTGGAAAAATTCCAACAAAACATATTTTCATTAGTATTTGCCAATTCTGCAAAATCTGAAAGTTTTGCAGAGATCATTTATTTTGCCAAAGTTCCAGTGGAAACCCACCTGGTTTCCTGCAGTTTGACCTACCGCCCCCTTGACAGCTTACCTGCCAGTCAGCTGTGAGTCTAGGCTTCCAGGGTCCACAGCTCTGGGGCTGAATTCCATTTCTTTAGAGAATTTTGAAATTTGCAGATTTGTTCCAAACTGGAACAAAACCTAATTTCAAAATATTGAAATCCCACAAACCAGATGGAGTTACCTTTTTCTGCCCAGCTCTAGTTCTGTTAGATAACAGAGCAAGGAGAAACTTAGAGTACAGGTGATGATTCCTATAAACTTTGAGGCTTCAGGTAATCTGTTAGGTGCTAGAACTAATGATAATATCACCTGTTGTATTACTTATCTAATAAGAATGCTATAGACATATTTGGTATGTTTGTTAATATAATAAATCATTGCCTTGTTACCGAATTTTATTATAGCAATTTCTTTGAAATAAAAAAAGGATGCTATCTAAATTTTGTAGAGATATGATGGTACTTTTTTGAGTTGATTCATTTTCCTGAGTTTGAGTTAATCATATATATCATTAAGAGTACATTCTAGAATGTTATCTTTTATTTTTTGCCAAAAACTTTCTTGTTATTATTTACTGTCCTGGGAGGCAGTGTGGCCCAGAGGACAGAGCACTGGATTGGGATTCAGGAGACCTCTGATCTGTTTCTAGCCCTGCCATAGGCCTGCTAGGTGACCTTGGGCAAGTCACTTAACTGCCCCATGCCTCAGTTTCTCCATCTGTAAACACCTCCTTTGTAACGCGCTTTGAGATCTACTGGTGAAAAGTGCTATATAAGAGTAGTAGTATTATTTAACTTTATTAAAATAATTTACAAGACAATAAAAATACATATGATATATTACACCGTGGTTTTTTTTCTTATTGCAGGATCATTTCATTAGTTTGAATATTGAAAATGGCCATCTGGTGTTCAGATACAAACTTGACTCACAACCTCCAAAGGAAATAGCAAGCAATAAAGCAGCTGTAAATGATGGAACATATCAGCAAGTATGTCATTTAAACAAATGATATCTTTTATTAAAAGTATCATGAACTTCTAAAAATATATAGATCATAATGGCTGAAGCTACACATCCTATTTCAAATTCTTCTGACTGTGATGTTTTGCCTTTCTTTTTAGATGATTAGGCTAGAAAAACACTAGCTTATGTGTGACGCTCATATGGAAATTAATCTTTACACTGCTCAATATCATGTATTTCTGTGGGTAAAGTATTCCTGGCACATAACCACGCAAACGACTTGCCCTCTTGCAAGTGTATTTGTCATAAATATAAAGGGAAGGGTAACAACCTTTATGTATGCAGTAATATAAAATCCCTCTTGGCCAGAGGTACAGAATCACTTACCTATAAGGGATTAATCAGTTCAATTAACCTAGTTGGCACCTGACCAGAAGAACCAATGGGAAAAGAAGATACTTTTCAATCTGGGGGAGGGGGGAAGGTTTTGTTTGTGCTCTCTTTGTTGTTCCCTCTTGGGACAAAGAAGGAGAGCAACCAGGTAAACCAGCTCCTAACAAGATCCTAAAATAATACATCTAAAATTACAAAAATTGTAAGTAATAGCAAGAAAATGCGTTAGATTATTTTTTGTTTTAGCTTGTGAATTTTCCCTGTGCTAAGAGGGAGGTTTATTCCTGTTTTTTTAACTTTGAAGTTGAGCCTATAGGGGAATCCTCTATGTTTTAAAAATCTTTTTATTACCCTGTAAAATTACCTTCCATCCTGATTTTACAGAGGTGCTTCTTTTACTTTTTTCTTTATAATAAAGTTCTTCTTTTAAAAATCTGATTAATTTTAGTGTCCTAAACATAAAGGGTCTGGTCTGTACTTTTATTAAAAGCAATTGGTTGGTCTATTATTCTCAAGCCTCCCCAGGAAAGGGGGTGAAAGGGCTTTGCGGGATATTTTGGGGAAATAGGAACTCCAAGTGGTCCTTTTCCTGAATCTTTGTCTGAATCATTTGGTGGTGGCGGCAGCAATACTGTCCAAGGACAAGGGAAGGATTTGTGCTTTGGGGAAGTTTTTAACCTAAGCTGGTAAAAATAAGCTTAGGGGGTCTTTCATGAGGGTCCCCACATCTGTACCCTAGAGTTCAGAGTGGGGAGGAAACCCTGACAGTATTGCTTTAGTTAAGGATTATCATATTAATTGCAAATACCAACATTATTTTAATGTTTAGCTTGGTATTTTTATCAGATCAGTTTTAAGAAAAAACTTTTAACTGACCTTTATACAACCGCTTTTTTATCTCATCAGCTTAAAAGCATTTTGTGCTATTTTGTGGAGCTATTTATATGAAGTCTGCTTTGAAACACATAATCAAATCCCTTTATTGATGATTATTTTGGCCAAAAGTATAGTTAAACTCTACTGTTAAAATAGACAGATTTTTCAACAATAAGAAAATGTGACTGAAAAGTAAAAATAACAATGGTGTATGGGTTTATGTATGTATAAATTAGAGCTCGGGAAATATTACAAATAATTATTTGTGAACATACGTTCAAACTTTGAAATGATTTTGCTTGTCTGTGTCCCTTTTTTGTTCAGCTTTCCTTGGATATTTTAACAGCTATGTTTACTGGCAGGAATATATGCCTAAACAGCAAATTTTAGGAGAATATTGCAGAACATTCACAAAAGGCACATCTTGAATTCATATACATGAGTACTTAAGTCAGAAACCTAATTCTAAAAGTCACTCTCATCCAGTCAAGATGTGACCTATGTGTCCAATCAAAACAGCTCAATTTTGACTTACAAATATAAGAGCCAGAAGCAGTACTCCCAGTGAACCAGCTGTAAGCAATTGGTAGGCAGAGATATGTTTGCATAGAATACGAATGGAATTTCAAACACCATATTAATTTGTAGAAATCACAACCTGTTTGTAGACAATTTGCTCACAAACAAGAGGGCTAAATTTGATGAATAACTTGTTTACTGTGAATAGTTCATGCAGCTTTCGTGCGTGTGTGTGTGTGTGTGGAAATGCACTGAGAAGGGAGTGGCTAATTCAAGTTCTGATTGTAGCTGGAAAAACTGCAGAAACCCAAACTTATTAGTAAAATGAAACAGAACACACTTTTGCTAATTAAGAAACTTAGCACCTGATTTTCAATGGTACTAGTCACTCACTCTCAGAACTTCATGAGTCAGAGTGCTTCCAAACCATGTGAGTATTCAGTTTTGCCACTCAATTTTGGGTACCGCACTTGCTAGAAGGTGTGGGTTCCATTGGCTAGGACTGGAAGTTATGAGAGCTGTGTTCTGCTCCCTCTCTGCCACTGATTCACTGTGTGAACTTAGAAAAGTCACGTTACCTTTCATCACCTCAGTCTCTTTTGATGTAAAATAGGCATAATGATACTTACTCTTCTTTCAAAAGTGCTTTGAGATCTGCAAATAAAATGCATAATCTAAGTACTATGATTATATCTATTCATTGCTAGACCACTCATGCACAAAAATCTGCATACATACCTCTTTTAAGCATTTGTTACTTACAAAATGTAGTGTAAATCCACTTGAAGCAATGCAGTTACTCTTTATTTAAACTGGTGTAAATCAGAACAAAATTAGACCATTTGTATTATGCTATGTTTGCACATTTTGATGTGCTAAATTATTCTTGTTTATTTTGTGTGCACTAATTCTCACTATCTGTCCATTTCAGATTAAATTATACATTTCTGGGAGACAAAAGTTAGTTTCGATTAATCCTGGGATTAAAGCCAACATCAATGTCTTTAAATTCACCACATACTACCTGGGTGGAATTCCATCTTCTCTGCGGGAACGGTGAGTTACTATTTTAAAAAGTCAGCAGGCCCAGCCTTTCTGTTGGGTACACACTCAACTGACATCAGTAGAAGGTTTTGGTTGTATCCTATTGGAGGGCTGGGTTCAGATTCTGTATGTTGTATGTGATGTGTATATATATATGTCAAAAACTGTGAGTTGTGGAAAATCATCTGGCTCTTTGTTAATTGGGTGACAGGACATGACAGTGAAAATTTGTGTGCAATAAGGATTCATCTTGGAATCTGCTATTTTATTTTTCTATTTCATATCATTCTATTGACTGACTGTTGTACTATTGTGTGATTGAGGTAACAAGTTACATTTTTCTCTCTGAAACCAGCTTTAATATCTCTACATCTCCATTCCGTGGCTGCATGAAGAATGTAAAAAACCCCGTCACTGCATCTGTTACTTTTACTGAGACCATTGGTGTCAGTAGGAAGTGTTCCAATGACTGGAAGGTAATTTGCAAAGTTGCTTTTAATATGTTTGTTGTTCACGGATTCATAGAAGGAACGGTTAAATCATCTAGTCTGACCTCCTATATATCACAGGCCATTAACTTTCACCCAGCCTTGTGTTTGGCTAAAGCATAACTTCCAGAAAGACATCCGGTCTTGATCTGAAGACATCAAGAAATGGAGAATCCACCACTTCCCTTGATAGTTTGTTCCAATGATGGATTACCTTCACTGTTAAAAATTTGTGCTGTATTTCTAATTTGAATTTGTCTGACTTCAACTTCCAGCCATTGGTTCTTGTTATACCTTTCTCTGTTAGATTAAGGAGCCCTTTTTAGTACCCAGTATTTACTCCCTGTGGAGGTACTTACACACTGTAATCAAGTCTCCTTTCAATCTTCTTTTTGATAAATTAAACAGATGGAGCTCTTTTATTCTCTTGCTGTAAGGCATTTTCTCAAGCTCTTAAATCATCTTTACAGTTCTTTCCTGCACCCTCTCCAACTTTTCAGCATCTTTTTTAAAATGTGGACGCCTCTTTACCCCTCTTCACTACCCCCGTGTTTATACAACCCAGTATCACATTAGCCCTTTTCGCTACAGCATCATATTGGGAGGTCATGCTTAGTTGTTTGTCTACTGTGATCCCTAAATCCTTTTCATAATCACTGCTTTCCAGGATGCAGCCCTCCATTTTTAGTTATGGCTTGTGTTCCTTGTTCCTGAATGTCTAACTTACCAAGCTACCCAGGTCACTGTGTATGACTGTTCTGGCCTCATGATTATTTACCACTCTGCCAATCTTTGTGTCATCTGCAAATATTATTAGCAGTGATTTTTATATTTGCTTCCAGATCATTGATGAAAATGTTGAACAGTGTTGGGCCTATTAGTATTGAACCTTAAGGAACCCCACTAGAAACACCCCACTCAGTGATGATTCCCCTTTGACAATTACTTTTTGAGATGTCAGCCAGTTCTTAATCCATTTAACCTGTGATATTGCATAGTTCTAAATTTTCAATCAGAATGTCAGAAGTACTAAGTCAAATGCCTTACAAAAGTCTAAATATATTACATCTATGCAGTTATCTTTACCAATCAAACTTGTAATCTCATGAAAGCATGGAATCAGGTTTGTTTGATCAGACTTTTGTTTCCATAAAATCATATTGACTGTCCTTAATTGTATTTCTGTACTTCAATTATTTATCAATTGAATCCAGTATCAGCTTTTCCATTGACCTGCCTAGGTCTGATGTCAGGCTAACCAGGCTATAGTTACTCAGGTCATACCGCTCGCAGTTTTTGAATACTGGTACAGCGTTAGCACTCTTCTAGTCTTTTAGCATTTCTCCAGATTTTCAAGTTATGTACTTTTATTCTTAAATGATCTTGAAAAATGTGACTAGTGGACCAGTAGCTGTCTCTGCTTTGCGGAACGCATTGGGTGATATTGTGTATGCGGTCTGCATAGGTAGTCATCTCTTACTTCCTTTTCCTACCCCGATGGATCCTCTGAGTTTTTGTCTGCATCCCAGGGGTGTCACAACTTCAAACGTGCAAATCCATCTCCAGAGCCCTTTTCACTATTCTTCCTGCTGCAGCCAACTGGGTGGGACTCCCTTTCAACTCTGTGTATGCCACTTGGTTTGATCGTGGTAGTCACTTCCTGTTGAAAGACTCTTGTCACTCCTCCTCCTCCCTTTCCACTGAGGTTGAGTCTGCTGCCACTACAGCACTCTTGGCCTCACTGCCTAATGGATAAATGAAAGGGATTCAAATCTGAATGTATTCATTCCAGGCCAAAGTTCATTCATGTGGACAGCGACCCTGCCTGCCTACTTTTTGTCTTTGAATATAAAATCATCTGGCCTTTTCTGATAACATAGACAGTAAACAGAGCAGAGCCGTGTATCATACTAAATGGGCCTCAGTTTACTTACACTGGTTCAAATCAAGATTAACTCCATGGATGCCGACAAAGTATATATACTTGTTCTGTACTTGGAAACTCAGGTACTGTACGCTCAATTTGTCTGTTATATGTTTTCAGTTAGAGTCCATTCATGTGTATATTAGCTTGAATAAAAGAATGAGAGACTTATCTTAGGCAGTCCAGTAAAAAAAGTGATACATGAAAACCTAATTCATCATCTCTTTGCCTTTTAGCTTGTGAGATCTGCAACTTTCTCCAGGAATGGAATACTGGGTTTGAATGCTGAGGGTTTCCCATTTCCCAGCAATTTCCAAGTCGGATTTAGCTTTCATACGTTGGCACCCAGTGGAACATTATTAAATTACAATATATGGGTATGAAACATTCATTTTTGTTTCTGGATAAGAAAACTCATGTCTGTTTGGGACAGGAACATTTTTCAAAATCTCACTTTCTTGCAGAATGGGAAAACTGTTTCCTGCCCAATTCTACTCACAATAAGATCTGGTCCAAAAAAATTGAGTTTTGAAATTTTTCATTGAAAAGAATAGACCTTTTGTGGTGGAAACTCTCCTTTAAAACAGTGGTTCTCAACCTTTACAGGAGGCTGATTTGTCTTGTGTACCCCAAGTTTCACCTCATTTAAAAACTACTAGCTCACAAACTCAGAAATAAAGATATGAAAGTATCACAGCACACTATTACTGAAAAATTGCTTACTTTCTTATTTTTACCATATAATTGTAAAATAAATCATGACCCCCCCCCCCCAGGTTGAGAAACATTGATATAGTATATAGAGCAGTATAAACAAGTAAATGTCTGTATGAAATTTTAGTTTGTACTGACTTTGCTAATGCCTTTCATGTAGCCTGTTGTAATACTAGGCAAATATCTAGGTGAGTAGATGTATCTCCTGTACGCGTACCCCTGGTTGAGAACCACTGCCTTAAAATGTTCCCATTTTCCAACCATGACTATTCACAGCACTCAGACAGTATGGGTAAGCTTAGGTAAAGGGAGATTAAATGACTTGCTTGCTAATATGAAGTGCAGAGAGAAGTGACTCCACTGGAGGGGCAGAGTGTAGAAGAAATTCCTGTGTGCTTGTGCTTCTGGAGGAAACAATGGCATTCAGTAGGTGGGGAGTTCAATCCCTACCTCTGGTAAAAGTCAGTTAAAAAATGTTTAAATAACGTTTTTATTTTTTTGCATCCCAAAGTCTGGTGTAGGCTGGCAGGTCTCTTCCCTTCTCCAGAGCTGTGTTAATTGCAGGGGTTCTGGAGTAGTATGATTTGGGAGATTACCCTGGGAGAGGTACAGCTTTTGGGGTGGCCCAGAACAGTTTTGTGGGAAGGAAGGTTTCCTCCCATGGAGCCATGTTGGATTCCAAGAACTCTTGGGAGCAATGCATGCTGCCACGCTGACTTACGATTGGGACTTGGGTTCATGGTGATATCAGGAAAACCTGAAGCTGCCTATATTTAATGATAACTTTATAGGATTATTTTATTTTTTTAGCCTAATATTCTTACCATCTTTCTGAGAGACGGCTTTGTAGTCGTAAAGATGACAGATGAGGAAAAACAATCCAGCAAGAAATATGAAGATGGTTCAGTGCATTATGTGTCAGTAATCAAAGATGACAGGATGTAAGTCCAGTTCTGTGTTTGGTTTTTGAATGGAATGCAAGCCTTGGTTAGAAAGAGAAGATTGTAGAATGTTTTCTTGACCTGATGTTTGGTTATAAAACGGGACATAGTTAAAACTAAATTCTGAATTGTGCTAGCAGTGGATATGGACATTCTGAAGCATTGGCTGATTCTTGATCTGTATATTTGCATGTCAATACCTGCTGAGTTCCAGTTCAGCTCCTATACTTCACAGCAACACTGGTAGTCTGAGCTTTCAAACCAAAAGGTTTGAATCTGCTTTTCTGTGCACTACGTGTCTTTCTCTGTGGTTGGGCATGACATAGCATTGGACAGCTTCTCACACTCATAGTCTTCACATCTTTGAGTGTAAATTGCAAACCTATCTAATGTAGCTGTTTTACAGGCCTGAGGAGGAAGGGTAATATCTCTCCTAATTTTCTCGATATTGATCTCCTATATAGATTACGAGACAATTTACTAAAATTTATCTAATTTACTGAAAATTAGATGACTTCTAAAACACACTGGTCTCTGTAGGGTTATATAAAAACTTGTGCTGGCTAAAAAAGAGGGGTTTGAAAGATAGCCTGTGATTGTATTAAAGTCTTGGTCTAATGATAACGTTCAGAGTTTTTCTGTAGTAGCAGTGTCCAACTTGTCAAATTCTGTTTCCTTTTGGCATAAGTGATAGAATCCTGGCCCCACTGAAGTCAATGGAAGTTGTGCTGTTGACTTCACTGAGGCCACGATCTCACCCAAAGAATGTAAGGTGACGTTCTGCTCTCATTCTAACTGTACTGCACCATTTTAAATATGGTTAAGTAGTGAACTAGTACGGGTATAAAACCCATGGAAGTGATAGGAGACCAGGCCTGTAAACACATTCAGAATTAAAATGTAACTGGAAGGCATGTGTGTGTCAGATCTTTCTTTAAAAAAAAATTCATTTAGCTGGTAGTGTGTTTTTCCTAAATTTTTCACTCTTATTTGTATCCATCTTGTTTCAGGGTCAAGCTCCTGGTTGATGACCTGCCTGTGTCAATGGTTGTTGAACCTCAAGGAATGTCTAGAAAATTAAGTCAACCTATAAAATTGGGTGGTGATAATTTTGAAGGCTGCATCTCCAATGTCTTTATACAAAGGTACTTAACTCGGGAGTATTTGCAGTAGCAGACATTGGGGTAAAGAGAGAAATGTCCTGTTTTCCTTTATGAGTAACTGGAATTGCTTCTCACTAATCTGCATTTCTTCTAGATACATGAAACCTTGCTGAATGCATAACCTTGTTGCACAACAAATACATTCCTGTATTTGGCCAATTCATCACTTTTATAAGATTTAATGGAGTTTGATCTTTTGATGTATTGGAAGATCACTCTGAATTGTATTCCTTCACTAGAAGTTTGGTTTAAAAGCCTCATTATATTGGAATGCGTATATTGCAACGCCCAAAGTTTTCAAACATCTTTGCCTATATTATAGTCATCAAAAATACATGTGCAGCCAGATAATTGCATGAGCAAGAAACATTTGGATATGCAAAATAAATAATTACATCAATAAATGGGGGTACTTGTAAAAAGACCTGATTGCTGGTTTATGTTACCCATTTGTTACTCAGTTTTTTCCCTCCACATCCACCTGGTGGTAAATACATCTTTGCAAGCCCAATTTAGAAGAGAAATTTCACCTTAAGTGTTTTCTTTCATTAAGTTAATTCCTATCACAGGTATTCTCCCAGCTGGGGCCTGCTTGTTTCTACTGACTATTGAGTGTTTGGATGTGCATGAGTGTGTGTGGTTTCACAAAAAATATGTTGTATTTTTGGTTTGTATATATCTTCATTAAATCTTTGCCTTAGCATTGTGAAGTTGTGCAACATGTATACTAACCTGTCCGTCCATCTGTGATTTACCAAAATTGGAGAGATTCCTTAAACCTTACAACCTACATATGTGTACATTTATTCTCATTGATTTAGCCTTTGCACAAAGAAGATTGGTATAAAAGTGTTTCTGGCAACAGGGCAGAGTTGCACAGTAACAAACTGATAGTTTTTTAGCCCTCACACTTGGGCATCCAGTTGAGTGGGAGTGTGGCTGATTTAGCAAGACTGTAGGTTTGCCCTGACCAATCCTCTTCTATCGCTAATCAGCAACACCTTCTTACTCTAGTCCAGAAGGTGTGACACTGCCAGAGTTACTGTATTCCAGCTCCTTTTTCTCAATGGCAACAGCATTTTTTCAAGTGGGTAGTTTTTGGTAGGCTCCTAAATTCAGTTGAGGATTTAACAGCAGTGGCTTACCTCAGCAGTAGGACTGTAGCAGAGGTGGGATGTTTCAGGCAAGAGCTCCAGACTACAGACTCCTTTCATGTTTCACAAACTTCCCACCCTGTAGGTCATGCAACATCTTCAAGGATTCCCCCCGCCACACACACACACTCACCCCTCCCCCCCCTCCCCCCCCAGGAAGCAGCTGATACTTTTATTTAGTCTTGGCCTGCTAAAGCTGCCAGAGGCGCAGCACTGGACTCTATAAGCCACCTACTGTATAAGTGGTTGGGATTTCCTGGTGACATCACATGCTAATACAAAATATAGAAGTTCTTACAACAGTAATTCTGGATCTGCCTGTGCCAATCACTCATATAAATCATACTCTTGTGATAGGTGAAAATTGGTAGATGTCCCTTGAACAGACTATCACTGAGAGTAGATCTACCTTGTAAGGCTATATGTCCAAACAATGCAGCTCTAGAATATATGGTGGTTTTCATTAAATAATAGAGATGATAAAGGGTGGTCTCCTATAGCGCTCATTCTCATTCCTCATGTTTATTCCCTATTCTAGGACAGGTCAGCTCCCTCAAGTTCAAAATCTAATCAATTATACTGAGAAGACTGGTGTATCCGTGGGAGCCTGCAGGATGTACAAGTCACTCCAGCCAATGCTGCTGAAAGAATTAGCAGATCCTAACAGCTCTAAGATTTTCAAGGTATGTTTGTTTACTATAAACTCCAATCCACACTGATTCTCAGGCTTAGGCTCCACCACATGAGCTGGCAGGGCTGAGGAACTGATGTTATTCCTTTTCCACCTAGCATCTGGAACAAGCTCTCCCTTCTCCTTATCCCATGCTCAATATATAACTCTCCAGAGTGATAAGTTCTTTAGCCATTCAAAGGAGGGTGTTGACTGATTCTGATGGGAACTATGAAATATGTATATTGAATTACTATCTCAGTTATACATATTAAAGATTTAAATTCTGCCTTGCAGTTACAGAAGAAAAAGTACCGTGCTTCCCTGACAGGTGCCGAAGTGCAGCTAGACCAGAAGAGCTGTGCTTTACCTACTCAGCTAAATTTCATCAGTGGAGCTTATCAGTTTGGCAACACTCCCAATAGTCATTTGCTGTATACACTTTCCCAGGCATCGCTGACAGACAGGTAATGTGACAGTTCTCCACTTAACTTCTAATGCTGTATTCTCCAATGAATCTTAAGCCTTTAGGTGCTAAGGGTTATGATTTCCCCATGTGCATCTCTTTGGGAGTAATAGGGTGCACCCTGATTGTTCTGTTAGGGGCTTGACAGAGAACTTTTCCTCCCAATCATTGTTTCTACAGAACAAAGCTGGACAGGTTGCCTGGAATGAGATGCTTGAATTTAGTGCACATTGAGGCACAATCCAAGAATCTAAATCTGCCAACTTCAGCCCACATTCAGAAATGTGAATGGTGTAACACATAATTATGATTCCAAAAGCCACTATTGTGTTAACAAATTAATTGACTTGTGTTTGTAGGTCAAAAACTCTCCCCCTACATTCCAACAATTAAGACCAGACTGGGTGCTTCTGTTACTGGTTTCTGGGATGGAACTCTCGGAGACTGATGACCGGGTTTTTCAGAAGTGTCCTTTTCTGTCAAAGTTGCTTCTTCTCTTCATTTGCCAAAACTAGAATTCAGGACACAGTATATTGCCCCTCTGTTCAGAGAGGATTTTTAATTAAATTCAGTGGTTACCGAACAGTGAAGATACCCATTGGCCTTGTCTACTTTATATTCTCTACAGTACTGAGTACATCATCAGCATTCAAATACTTAATAGTAATCTCACTTTGATGTACTGGTATTATACTGGCAGAATCAGGCCCCTTGCATCTTTCTAAAGGTTATGGAAAGGTATGACAGTAAGCAAAACAAGGCCACGTTTTAATGTCTTCTCTGCTCCTCTCTTTCCACTAAAGGTCACATTTTTCAGTAGACGTACGGACTGCATCATCGGGAGGACTGATTTTTTTTGTGGGAAATAAGCCTGAGAGCTCTTATATAGCTCTTTACATTTCAAAGGGTCGTTTTGTCTTTTCATTTGGTGCTGGAGGAAAGAAAATTAAAATCAAAAGCAAAGCAAAATACAATGATGGGCAGTGGCATACTGTAAGTATTATGACATTTAGGACAAAATTAACTGTGTGAACCATTGCAAAACATGACCCAGCACTTAATATGCACAGCCGTAAGTGCTCAGCATTTTAAAATGCCGGGAGTATATTCACCTCAACCTTGTGGAGCTAGTTCATATTGCTGAAGGTTCGTGTGGATGACAGGTCTTCGTTGTCAAAAGTCTCACGGCAGTGGCCTAGTTCTAATGCAGTTAGGATTGTGACAATACTTGTATTACTTTAGGAAAGTTCCCCAAAAAAGGGAACATTAAGGTAGGTAGTATGTGTCTGTAGGATAGAGACATTATGGTTTAAGGCGTTATTCTGATGCCCGTAGGCATCTAGAAAGTCAGTGGAATTACTCTGGTTATATACCGGAGTAATGAAAAACAAGGAACCTGGATAACTGATGCTGTGCAAAATACTCCTAGTTTTTGAACGATAAGGTATTTGAAAAAACATTTTGCCCACCTACTTTCTTTTTATTTTTGCTAGTTTCAAGTGAGCCTCAAAAATGCATGCTGATTTTAGGACTATACTGTCTATAACTTGATGGTTAGAGTTTTCAGAAGTACCAAAATGATTTAGGAGCACAAGTTCCATTGACTTTCATTGGGACTTGTGCTTCTACCTCACATAAGTGATTTTGAAATTCTACCCAATGTGTCTAATGGTAATTATGCTTTTCCCCCACAAAGGTGGTATTCAATATGGATGGGAAGAATGGCCATCTTATTATTGATGGTCTGAGGGCCAGGGAAGGAAAACTGGCAAGTAATTCCACCTTCAGCACTAAGCCACCAGTCTATCTGGGTGGGCTTCCATCCCTGAAAGTACAGGTAAATCATGGAGATTTGGGGGTGTTTTTTTTCATTGCACTGCAGATGAAGACACTGAAGTATTGTAAAGGGCAGTCATGATGAGAGGGATTTAGATTACTAAGGCCATCTATACGTAGTGTCCACAAATTCCTAATTATAGACACACACCCCTTCCCCAACTGTGTGCCCAGCCTTCAGCTTGACATAAATTATCAGCACTTTACTCTATAAATTGATTGCAGCCATGTGCTGCTCCTGATTCCCCTTTACCTGCAAAAGTCAAATTCCTCTTTTCTCCAAGAGCACCCTTTCCCCTTAGAGCATTCACTTCAGCAGATCCTTAAGGTGTCTCCAGCTAAACTAGATTTAGTAGTATTCAGTACCAGATGGAGGGATTCCCACTTACTAATCACTATGATTTTAGGAGGGATTATAGTTGTAGAACCTGATTCTAATCTTAGATATGCATTACCTCTGTTATCTTTAAAAATGACCTGTTAGGTATGTGCATCACTACACAATAGCTGTTTGGGGGTGGGTGAGTGCTTAGTATTTGAAATCAGAATTAGACTGTTAGATTGTCAACATTTGGATGTATCATTGGAAAACAGCTATTCTACAAATAAGATTTTGCAATAACCCTTTCAAGATTTCAACATTTCTAGCACGCTTGACTCTTTCATAGTTTACTGGCATTTCTTTCATGACATAGTACACATTTTCACTGTACCAGGGACAGTCTTTAGGTGCATTTCATACTTGGGTTTTCTGCCATCAAACAATGCTAAAGAACTGCTTGGCTGATCTGTTATTAAAATAAAAGCCAGCATGCTCTAATTTATTGTTATATTATTATTAATTTATTATTATTATTATTTATTCATGTTTTTAAATATGTTTTCAGAATATACCAAGAAAGAGTTTTGTAGGTTGCCTGAGAAATTTTAAAATGAATGGAAAGCTCATGAATACTCCTCATCGGAACACTGGGGTCCCTCCATGTTTGGATGGCTCTTTGGAGCCTGGGATATATTTCTTTAATGAAGGGGGATATATCGTCATTGGTAAGTAGTGTAGCAATCGCTATGTGAGCTATGTCTTTATTCTATAATCCACATAGATGGATAGAGACATAGTCATATAGCTATCAGTTTATTATATCAGACAGATATAGCTCCATGTTGTGTGTGTGTATATATAGGTGATACTTTTCCCCTTTTTAATGTGCTGTTCTAATTATTCTCCCTCCTCCCCTTCTCACACCTGCAGATAACTCTTTTGTGATGGGTTTGGAATTTAAGATCATATTTAACATTCGTGTGAGAAGCCTAACAGGAGTCCTACTCCATACTGGAAACAAACAAGGCAACTATTTAACTGTTTACATGGAAGCAGGAAAGGTGAGTGTGGGGTTTATTTCTGTTTGAACTGTATTACCATAACTAAGAAGAGAGACACCTTACTTTGAACACAAAACTAACTTCGTACAAAAGAAAACCAAATTAAAAATACGTTTAAAAACTTCATGATAGTGTCTTATAACCATCTCTGTGGAGCGTGAACCTTACATTTGCTACCATACCAGTATGAGGAGCTTCCATTGTATGCACACAGGCTTCCATCAGGCAGCTCCATGATAGTCAGTGCAGGGTGAAGGGGAGTGTCAGAGAACCCTCCTCTCCTCAGGACAAGGAGCACTTGTGGTACTCTGCTCCTCCAAAAATCTACCAGGGTTTAGGCCAGTGGATCATGGAACCATGTGCCCTCACTTCTCCCTTAGCCTTTGCCAGGCTGCTAGGAAGAGCGCAACCATTGAGCACCGACTGCTCTGTGCAGCTCCCTGTGTAGTTTCTCCGTAGCTTTCTGCACATACCCACTGCAGAATCTCAGCAGTTCTATTTTAGTATCGTGTTCAATAGCGAAGGGTGTCTCAGGGGAGTTGAAGGAAACCTGGGGAAGGAGGCAAGGGGGTGGATTTATGTGTGTATAGAATACATACTATCCTCTCTTAGGACTCTTTAAATGGAATCTACCTTCCTTTAAGGAAGACTGTTTGGGAGTGCAAATATTTTGACTGTGCCTTTTAAAGTGTTGGTGAAATGCACCAGTCAGTGAGTTCAGTAAATTGTTGAGAGTTGGATATTCTTTTGTCACTTCTTTCTTTTCCCTAGTAACTTGAAAAATGACTGTTTTACAGCTCACTGCCTCTGGAAATAATGGTGCTGCAGAGTTCCAGACATCCGTCACTCCTCAGCAGTCTCTATGTGATGGACAGTGGCACTCCATAGCAGGTACTGTATCCTCTTGCCTGCTCTTCTGAAACTGAAAGGGGTGGGAAGAACAAAAAAAACTGCCGCAGCCCAAATCTAATGCCTAACCTTTTATACACTAAATAATTCCATTGCTGTTTTTTCTAAGAACACCCTTTAGAATAATAACAGGTTTTAATTATTTAAGACTGCATGTAGGGAAGAGAACCTTTGGACTTTGACGTTGAACGCTTTCTCATCCCCATAGGTATTTTGGTATATGTCAGTTTGACTTGGAAATATAATGAAATAAAACTTCCCCTATAAAATCACATTCCTGCAAGACAAACACTTCTTAAAATAGTAGGTCATGGCTAGTGGATGCTTGACTGGAGCAAAGTTACTGATTTACCAAATTCCTTACAGTAACTCAGAAACAGAACATTGTGCACCTAGATGTGGATGCAAAGAGCAACTACACCATTGGATCCTCTGCCCCACTTTCTGCTAACGTGGGTCATCCGCTGTATTTTGGAAGAGTTCCAGGTAATATTACTTCAAGTTAATGTTTTGTTGCTCCTCCTGGTGTTTTGTTTCTTTTTTTGAAAGAAAAAAAATCAAACACACTACGGGCCATATCACCTCCTATAAGGGAAAAAACACTCAGGTGACAGGAGACTTAACTTGTATTATCTCATCATTTTTTGTCAGGTAGGCAGGGTCTTGCGTGCTTCCTCTCTCTCTCTCACACACACACTATGTCTACAGTACAGGCTGGCATAGCCCTGTAGCATAGATGCAGCCTACGCCATTAGAAGGCATTTTTCTGTCTGTGTGGGAACACCACCTCCCTGAACAACATTAACCACCTCAACAGAAGCACTCTTCAGTCGACATAGCTATGTCTACACTGGGGCTTAGGTTGGCATAGCTACATCAGTCAGGGGAGTAGTTTTTTTCATACCTCAACTTATGTAGCTATGCCAATATAACTTTCATGTGTCCACCAAACCCCCTCTCCCCGCCCCCCACCAAAACAATGCTCACAAAAAGCCACTCCACCCATATAGTCCAAAACTCCTGAGAAGGTTCACATACTCCTTTTGTCATAGGTGAGGGCTTGAGATGAATGTATCCTTCCAGTTATGTTAACTGAAGGGTGCATTCACACCCATCAATCTCACTGAGGTTTTAACTCAACCCATAGCAAGGTTTCACCCAGTTCATATCAACAGCAAAACATGATAAAATGTGCAATAATTTTTTTAATTATTTTATTTACCATAGTAAAGTAGTTTAGTTGAACGTGGAATGTTGGTATCATATTACATTCTGAAAGCAAAGACTATCCAATCCTCTCAATAATCAGAGATATCAAAGGGAACATTTTAAAGCCACCAGCCTGTTGTATTCAGTGCTTTACAAAACAGCTCATATTATTTAGCTGCTCTTTCTTCCTTGTCTTTACAGCAAATTTGGAAACACCGTGGCTTCCTGTTCGGGACTCGTTCCTTGGCTGTCTACAGAACATTAAAATAAATGACAAACCTGTCTCTGTCAGCAAAATTTCAGAGGTTCATGGTGCAGTCAGCTTGACTGGATGCCCTGCCAAATAACTTTGCCATTACATAATAAGGGAATTATTTGTACCCTCGTTGGGTTGGGTCTTCTGATGTACTGTATGAATTACTGCAATATGGGTTCTCCTTCCGTGATCACTGTGTTACTCTTGTCTATTATGATGTTCAAAACGGCTTACAAGTTAATGCATCTTCTGGAAGGGTGGCCTGTGCCAAAGCTAATTAAAAATGTTGGCTTTGTTAGAGTCCTTATTAAATTTGATTGCTTTCCTGGGTAATTCATTGGGTGTGTGAGATATATACACAAAATATAAAATAGTATTGTTTATACACGTAGTGGGCCAAATGCTGCTTTCGTCCTCCCTGGTATAGCATTAAAATAACTCCATTGACTTAGCAGGAGTTATTTTGAGTTTACACTGGTGAGAGTGACTACAGAATCTGGCCTAATATAAATAATTTTATAAAAATATATACATTTCTTTGGGTTGATGAACAGTGTTTATACTGAAGTGTACATTAATGTTAAAAATAATAATATAAATGGAGTCTGAAGCACTTTAAAGAGTGGAACTCTGGGAGATTGTTGCTGTGTTAAGAGTTCTGGGGCCAATAAATGCAATATGCTCTTTTTAAGACTTCCATATTCTTATTTGGTTGTAAAGACTAAATTCTTTTAACACAGCTTTTTCCTTAACTTGTTTTTCACCACGGCCAAATCCTGCTTGGTTTATGTGAGTAAGCCCATTAACTTCAAGGAGACAGCTTGCCCGAGTAAGTGGGACTGGGCCCATTGTTTCTGGTCCACAGAATTTAGATATGAAACACTTCTGATTAGGATAACTTTTCCTGTGGCTTTCAGAACCAGTAGATGCTCTGTTTTTCCTGATGAAATGAAGACAAGACCGAATTATTAACACTGAAGTATCGAGCACACTATCACTTATTCAGCACGAACTGCAACACTAAAACCAAGAAAATCCTTAGTTTGACATTCAAGTTTGTCTGACCAGGATCCCTTACCCCACAGAACCCTGTTTGCATTATTATGGATGTGGGGCTGGGCTGAGTAGATGTTGTAAGGCTTCAATCACCGCATTCATTCAAGCCCAGCATTTTCACCCTATTTTAGTCCACTTCCCATCCCCAGTGTAGAGCCCCTATCTTTGTCTGAAAACTGCACTCGCTCTGCATCTTCCAAGGCTAGGCGAGTCTCTTTGGAAGCTCTTATGTTGTTCCTAAAGTCAGCCACGAGGTGGCATAAGAGAGCAGTAGAAACAAACCTCAGCTCCCACAGCCTGTGGGGTTCATCTCCACGATGTGTCCAGTGCCTCCAGCCCAAGATTCAGCAACCCTGTCTATGTTTGTGTGTTTGGCACAACATGCAGTATGGGTAGTAAAACATGCTGCCTAGCAAGAGGGCCCTTATGGATTTGAGCATTAATTTCCTAAAAAATCTTGTGGCTTCAATGCTTGTGTTTGAAAATCAAACCAAAAAACCTCCATTATACCAAATCTGTGTGTCACTGCTTTTCTGTGGCTATTCTGTTAGGGGCAAAGCCAGCCCTCTCTTTGCCCTTATGGAGGGTTCTGTAGCAGCATAGCCAGGGTAGTTCTGCTGCTCTGTAGTGGGGGGTGAGGGGTGAACAGAGCGTGAGGAAACTGCACAGAGGATGAGCTGTGACAGGGACTCAAGGATATGGTGCTGCATGGATCCACCTGTATCACACCCCTGGAGGTGGTCTAACAACCCTTAAGCTATTTCAGCAGAGAGCAAGCAGCAGCTAGATGGTATTTATATCGGATGTGTCTCCACACCGTTCAAGTAGCTTTCCAATGGGTAAGTTAGCCAAAAGTATTGAAAAGTGCAGTTATTTTACAACCGTAGTTGGCATTAACATTTCCCAGTGCAGGAGAGGAAAAACAATAAAAGATATGGAAAAATTCTCCAACAATTCCCCAGCAGTATTCCCATAATTCCTATCTGCCAAACTGCTCCCCGCAGCAGATTCTCCCTGACTCACAAAGTAGTGATGAGTCAGTCTAATCCTCCTCCCCACAGCCCAGAAAGGGCAAGCTCTTGTTTTTCATAAATTCTAAGGCTGGGGGGACTATTGTGATCATCTAGTCTGACCTCCTGTGTAGCACAGGCCATAGAATGTCCTCAAAGTAATTCCTAGTTTTGCATAGTTGAGATTTAGTATCACAAACCAAGGCAGATCTTGAATTCCAATCCCCTGGCAATTGGTTTCATTTAACCAGGGCTAGTTCTAGTGCTGACTGGAAATATATTTAGAAAGATTTATTGAGTAAGCTCTAGTGATTTGTAAGTGTTACTTTAAAAGCTGACAGGCCCTAATATGTATTGTCGTGTTGCAAAGTCAGTTCTGTTTTTCATCATTTCTTCAGTCATGTTGTTCTCATAGTTGACTGGTCATCCCATAGTATAAGATTGTCTGGGCAACTTGTGCCAACAAGTAAAACAATCAAGAGCTTGGATATATGCACCTAAACACAAATAAAAAAAAATGGGCTGATAAACACCTGCTGAAAATCCTTTAGAGTTTAGATCCCAACAGTCACTGGGCAAGCCCTACTTTACAAAGAAATCTGTTTCTGATTAGATTATGCTGGTAATTTTAAAAAATCTGATTACAAGAAGAAATTCAGGTACTAAACAGTGAGTTACAGATCATATATTACACCTGATCTGTGTATGAAATATTCTGAGCTTTCCCAAATGGAAACCATCTTCTTTCCCGAAAATGAGGGTTTGTTCATTTGAATAGCTCCAGCTCACCAACAGTAGAAATTATGTACTGAAAAAATTACTTTTGTTTAAATTCTGCGAGGAATTCATTTAGGTGTAAAAACACCCCCGCAAATTTGTATTTATTTTATATAAGTCAAGAATGATTGAATCCTATTCTCTGATCAAAAGTTGGCCACATGCAGTATCATAGAATCATAGAATATCCGGGTTGGAAGGGACCTCAGGAGGTCATCTAGTCCAACCCCCTGCTCAAAGCAGGACCAATCCCCAATTTTTGCCCCAGATCCCCCAATGGCCCCCTCAAGGATTGAACTCACAACCCCGGGTTTATAGCAGGCCAATGCTCAAACCACTGAGCTATCCCTCCCCCAAGTACTTGATAACAATCCAGCCCAAGTTTAGTAATGTCATTATAATTATGAACATTACTAAGGCACTCATACCAAGCCCTCTGCAATTCTCCAGGACAATGTGTGGGCCCGATCCAAAGTCCACTGAAGACAACGGAAAGACCTGCTGAATTCAATTGAATTTGAATCAGGCTCTTTATGGATATTTTTTTAAAAAAATACATATTTTCTAAATAACTATTCTATGGTATCTGCCCATCCTCCTTCCAGTTACACATACAGTATTGAAAAATAAAACTGCCGTATATAAGAGAGTGGAACACGGTCTCCATATAGCAAATATGACTATTCTTACAGAAACACAATTCTTACATTGGTTAAACCCATGCACTGGCTAAACAAGTAAAAGGCTGCTGTTGGCAAAAGAGAGACAAGAAGCAGGTTGAGTAGAGAGCCCTTCAGTACCTGGCTTGGAGGCTAGGGAGAGGCAAATATGAAAATACAACAGCCAGTAAAACAACATACCAGCATCCCATCTTCCCAGTAAAGAGGATGGAACAAGAAGCAAATGTGATACAGCTAATATAACAATCACACTGAAACCTCAAAAAGAAAAGGAGGACTTGTGGCACCTTAGAGACTAACAAATTTATTTTATGCTCAAATAAATTGGTTAGTCTCTGAGGTGCCACAAGTCCTCCTTTTCGTTTTGCGGATACAGACTAACACGGCTGCTACTCTGAACACTGAAACCTGCAACCTCCTCTTCAGCTTCCCAATTCTGTCCAACACCCTACTGTTAAAATCAGTTTTCTTAACCAGCATCCTGTCTTGCCCTCCCACCTTGAGTCCCTGCCCTGGCTTCCTATTTCCTTCCACATCAAATTCCGTCTCTCGTCTTCACCCTTAAGGCTCTCTACACCTCTCCCCCTGCCCACAGACCATCGCTGGATCCTCCACACGTGCACATCATTTGCCAGTTCCGCTCACTTTGATGCATCTCTGGTCTCCCACAAGCAATTCCATAGCACCCCTTATTTCTGTAAGAACTGCCACCTCCCTGTGTGCAAAGTTGCCTCATTCTCCTTCATCAAAACCTCCCTCAAAACGCATTACTTCCTGGATAGCCTTCCACTGCTGACACCCTCCCTGCTCTCTTCCTGATTGTACTTAGATGTTCAGATATAAGCAAACAAACTCAGTATATGGGAGGAACTTACATGTAGTGTGTGTAACAGTCTCATAAGCTTCACTGTTGAATCAATTCACTAGCTGTGCCCCCTACCTCCACCCATTGTTTGTCTTCCCTTATAGCCCCACTGTGGTATGTCTAATTTAGACTGTAAACTCCATGTGACCTGTCACTTTCAGTCTTTAAAGCAAAGCCAGTACACTTGTGGTACTGTATAAATAATAAAAAATCATTAATAATAGCAAAAAACGTCACACTGAATAGTCTTCTCAGCATTCCAGCAAGGTCCCAAATGCGCTCATAACCATCGAGGCCCTAATTCTCCTCTCACTCACACTGTTGTGAGCCAGTAATAACTACACTGATTTCAGAGGCTCTCCACCAGCGTAAAACAGTCAAGGACCCTGAGTCTCCTCTCCCATACACCAATATAAAACTAGTGTAAGGGAGAGGGGGATCATCAGGCCCTTAAATCATTTTCTAGGACTATTATTATTTATTTGTATTATCATAGCGCCTAGGAGCCCTAGTCATAGACCAAAACCCCATTGTACAAATGCAGAACAGAACGATAGACTCAGCCATCTTTCACTGAAGGCTGCATCCCAGGTCAGATTGTCATACAAACCCAAAAACTACATTAAAAGTCCATTATTAAAGTTGCAAAGTGAAGCACGCGAAAGTTAGGAAATGCCAGAATTAAGGTTGCCTGGGCAATCTGAATTCAGCTCCCTTGTACCGAGGCATTCGGAAAAAATCTGTAATTACATGATGACATACTCTTTTTTCCACAGGACCACTACCTTACCCAGGGGGCCAGATCCTCAGCCAGTGAAAATCAGCCAAGGGTAAAGACTTTGACAGCTACACTGATTTACACTAGCGGAGACCATGGTCCAATGATTTCAGTGGAGTTACTTCTGATTTACACTGCTGTGAGAGCACAATCAGGCCATAAGTGGAAACATTTTGAATGTTCAATTCTTGTAACTTCACATTCTCTTGCTAGAGGAGGCATCTGTTCGCAAGCAGTCGCTAAAGGAGACATTTGGCCCTTTGGCATTCTTGGGGGGAAAAGTGATTCCAAACTATTCATGTGTATTGAGACCAAAAACCAAGCACCAGGAAAAATTGCTGCTAATCTTCACCATGAATTAATTAAAAAGGAATGAAAAGGTTAAACCCTCCCACAGTAGCCTGAAATGCCATCAAAGAGATCGTGGGCCTGAATCTCAGAGCAATGCTGATTTACACAGGTAAGGATTTTGGTTCTTTTTCTGGAAATTGAGAGAACACTATAATAATATT